ATGAAGTTTGAAATTTAATATAGTTTAATTTTTATATATATAAAAAAAGCTTAAATTTATTAAAATATATGTTAAACTTGAAGTTTCAAGATAAAACAATTCCTTTTATTCAATTATCAATTCCAGTATTAAATGAAAGGTTATATCTATGAATTTTGTATTACAGATCAATCCTACTACATTAGTACCGATAGACGGCATAGGGGAAGGGGCGTTGCGACTATGAATCAACAACACGAAAACTTTGTTATAAATTACCTTACTTCTTTTCCATTTTTGTTTTTGTTTTTAAGTTATTTATCTTCTCATTGATCCTTTTCCCATCTCTTTTATTTTCACAGGCAAAATATAACCATAATTAGCATTTGATAGAATCAATTCTCTTTTAGACATATTATCGCCAAGCATATAAATTAGAGCCATTCAATCGATTATTCTAATTTTTAAAAGATAATTTACTTGGGAATTATTAATTGAAGAATTAACCAAGAATTGATATTCTTATTCTTGAAGATAATTTGATGCAAAATATAATCTGTAAATGTTCTCTACTAAGATTATATGGGCATCTACATTATAACATTCATTATATATTATTCTTCCCTGACAAGACGAACGGTCGTTGGTATACGCTCAGAACTCCGACGCATAATCCATGGCGTCGACATTCATGATAGACAAGCCAATATTTCGATGGTGTTTCTCTACACAATCTGCCTGCTTAAGAGGAATATCACTACCCCAACGAATTGGCAACGCCACCATATTAGATTTATATGCTAACGCTAGAATGGTGTTTGTGTATTGTAAGTGCATCGACACTAGGTCCCGATGTCGGGCCTATGTGTTAGTGTAAAGCAATTTTCAGATAATGACATTACTTTATCTCTCTTGTGAACATTCATATTTATTTTTTTCAATTTTTATATAATATTAATCAAAAAATTTCTGATCAATTGAAAAATATAGGGAAAAGGATAGAAACATACATAAATCAGGAGCAATATATATATATATATATATATATATATTTCATCAGTTAAACTAATCTTATTTCTCTCATAAATTTCATTATTGTTCAAAATGGAAGTACATTAATTTATACATCAGGGTTCTTTCTCATGAGAGAGTCGATCAATGATATTCATAGCTACACCAGAGAGCTGTGCATAAATCCTCATCTTATTAAGAACATCATCAGGAACTTTCGATTTATAGCTTTGAATTTTCAAACCACAAGAAACCATTCGACTGTTAATAAGAGCCGAGACGACGATGTGATTAGCCTCATCATAATCGCCTTTCTTCAGTTCATCCATTGCCGATGTTAACTTCGTCTTCGCTTGATGGTAACACTTGCTGCAATCCTCACAAGTGCCCTTAAAATTCTTGTCTTCTGACACAGAAGAAGCCAGTGTTGACATGTTGCCTTTCAAGATCTCTGCGTCGTCACTTAGACAAGCCACGAGCATGGTGGCGATAGTTTCAGGTTTGTCGGCTTTCTTGGTTGCTTCTGGGTCGGATTTTATGCACTGAAGGCATGTTTCCGGGGCGTCAGTTTGTCGACATTGTTGCTCGATCAATGCGTCGTCTGCATTGGCGAGATTCTGAGGGTGGAGAAAGAAGGTTGGAGAAAGAGTAAGAAGAAGAAGAAGAAGATAACGGAGATTGAGGACAATGGCCATGGCTGCAGCTAGGTTGTTGCTTTGTTTTGGCATATTATATAGTGTGAAATTTGAGTAACGCTTGTTTAGTGATGAGTATTATGATTGGGCAATGCATATAACTGCAGTTACATTGTTTTCTTTTTTGTCCTTTTCATGAAAAACAAGTAGATGCTCTTCTGCTCAATACCTAATTAAGTTAATCTACAACAAATGTTTGCGTTCTGTTCAGTTTCTTTATTCTCCCAAGGAGGCCCTTGCATGCATAGTTCAAACTCAATATTGTACAAGTATGTGCCAGCTGAATACTATAATAAAATTATCAAACAGTGACAGAATTACTGGTCATGCGCACTTAAGCTATGAATCGCCAAATTTCAGACCACAGTTTGGCAGATGACCTAAGTTTAATCCATGAAACCTTCCTCCTTTCAGGATTTCCTATAATGTTGTCTCAACCTCAACAAGGGGGAAAAAGGAGAGTTTAATTAGTATATGAATAAGCAAGAATTTAGTCATCAAACCGTGGAGAAATTAATTAAGAGGGTTTAATTAAACATTTTAACATGGGTAATTACTTCTTTCACCACCTACCAAATAATTAAGTCAATACTGCCGCTTTAAAAAGAAAATGACAAATTCCCACCCAAGGTTTGGCGTAATTAATTTAAGGATCCTTTAGAACTGTTGTTAACTTTAACTAAAAATGATTGAATGGTAAATTCAGTTTATTAAAAAAAAAAAAAAAAAAATTTGCCTAAACCCTTCTATCTTTCTTCCCCACCCCACTGATGTTTATTTGTGAATTCTGGAAATTGGGTTGTATTGTCTTATTTTTAATGGTTTTTGACATTCAAAGTTTGGAGAACAAGCCACTGGAGACTTAAAGAATGGAGACGAACAAAAGCCTTTGAGCCTTGCGCAAACCAAGAGATCATCACATGGAGAATTTGAAAGCTTTTTTCTTCTCGGTTTTTTATTGTTTCATGATTGATTGATAGTATGTAATTTGTGTTTTGTGTTGTGTGATTAAATTGTTTAATGGATTATTGATTTGGGTTGGAAGTGTTTGAAATTTGTGGCGGTGGTGATGGCTGTATTTGGTGGTTCTTGTGGAAATTTTCAACGGCCAAAGTATGAAGCAAAGCCATCGTGAAAAGCTGGTTTCAGCAAGCTTTTCACAACGGCTAAGCTCGCTTTTCGCTGGTGAATCCGCGTGGCACCAGATCTGACTCGGTATTGTGTCGACAAACGAAAATGGGCAGTAATCTAGGCCTGCCAGGTTCGAATCAGTCGGAATTGCACCCAGTGCGTGCGATTCGGCCGAAATCAACGCAGATCTGGCCACCAAAGGACTCCCGTTTTCACCACCCCTTCTTCGGTCCCATTAATTTCCCAAACAATTCAATACACAAAACATAACCCATTATCCCAAATAACAACAATATAACAAAATAAAGGATGTAAGTTAATTGCTATTTGATTTTTACTCTGCTTGGGCATTCAAGAAAATTGGGGGTGGATGATTTTAGGGCGGTGAGGTGGGAAAGAAAGATAAAAGAGTTTGAGCTTAGGGTTTCTGTTATTATTTTAAGTTTTAAATATAAAATTCCCTAACGTGGAATGGTTTTTTCCTATTGGCTGCATGCGTAAAAGTTTGGTTTTTGTTAATCTTTAAGTAGTAAAATTGACTAATAATTTTCTTTCTTTAGAATAAAGACAAAAACGTCAAACTAATTGTCGTGTTAGAATCTTTTTATAATAAGTCTCTCATGTTAATGTTTGTACTTGGGATATTCCAATAATTATTCTATAATATACTAAGGGATTCAATGTACTAATCCTATCGAGAACCCTATTTCCTTTGTATGTATATAGATTAAGATAATAAATGAGAAATGAAATAAATATACTATAATTTTTCTTCCAATATGTACTGTAATTTTCGATTAATACAGAAGAATAGGACAGTCTATACATGTTGGAAGACTATAAAACTTATAAAGTAAATGAAATATCTTAGGCAAATCCACCACGAGGGATTTTCATCATATTAGTATTATTCTTATCATATACGTTTGATTCCTTCCTTATAGTCCAAAGTGTATCCTTTTAATGTACTTAATTGTAAGTGCCGCCATTAGAAGTCTGAAGTTACTAGACCAAGGGAAATTAAACTACAAAATTCAGGATTTATTTGACATATTCAATTCTGAAATCATGTACGGAATCATTTAATTTAAAGGCTTAAATTATTAGATAAAAGGTCTTCAATTTTACACCTAAATTAGAAAATCCCTTAATTCCAACTAATCTATAAACCAATTTTAAGAGTTTCTCACCATTAAAGTGAACAATACCCGAATACCTATAATACATTTTGCAAACAAAATTAGGTTTTTTTATTCTAATTTACAATTATATTAAACAGTAACGGATCTAGAAATTTTTTTTTGGGTGGGCCAAAATCCAAAAATTATATATATTAGTATTTTAAAAAAAATATATTGAGCCCACCCAAAAGTTGGATGGATGCGCCCCTAATATTAAATAATGTATCATAGTTTAGGGTGCGTTTGGTTCATTATTCTGATACTTTTTAGAATAATATTTTGAAAAAAGTAAAATTTAGTGGTTATTACGAGGTACCACCCATTAAATACTGGCAGTCGGCCACCATCGTCGAAGGGTGGTCGGAGTCATCGCATCGACACACGAACTGTTAGATCTGGCCGGTCGTGCGCCGATATGGCCTTTTCTAGCCAGATCCATAATGGATCTAGTTGGAAAAGGCTAGATCTACGGCTAGATTTGGCCATTGACAGCTAGATTTGGTCGCGTTTGGTCATCAACGATGGCCATATCTTGGCCGATGTTGACTACTAGCTATGGCCAAAGATCTGACCGTCAACGACCAGATACTTGGCATAGATCGGCGTACTACTGGCCAGATCCAGCCGGTAATGCGCTATTATACCAGATTCTGGCCACCTTCCAGCGGTGGTGGCCAGAATCTGGCAAATGTGGGTTGATGGGGGTGTTTTTGTCAAATTTTAAATTTTTTTTGGGTGTTTAGTTAAATTAACAAACCTAGAAGGTTAAAAAAATTGAATTAAATATAATAGTATTTTTAGAATAAGGAAACAAATGTGTATTTTAAATAAAAAATGTTATATCCATCGAAAAAATTACACCGAAATAGGTGGAGCTCCTTTTATCTGACAGGAAGCCAAAAATGCTAAAACCAAACAACACAAAGTATAAAAAAAAAAAAAAAAATGTCTTTCACGCTTTCCCACAACCCATGTGCTTTTTTGACGCCACTTCCTCTTCTTCATGGCCTTCCATGTCTTTTTAGCAGTTAATGGATCAGAAGAATCAGAAGAATCAGAAGAAGAAGGGAAAATCACAGGAGGAAATCAACACTTATTAGTAGATGATAACCTCAGAGAAATAGGCAAGAAAGCTGCTTGGAGTGTTAGCTCTTGCAAGCCAGGCAATAGCATCTCCTCTCTTCGTGATGATAATCTTGATACCTATTGGCAGTAAAACTTCTCTCCGCTCTTTCCAATTGCGTTTTAGTTTTATTAAAAAAACTAATATGTAATGGACGCCCGTACATTCCTTATGGACGGGCTTTTATTATATATGGACGGTCGTCTTTATATAATGGACAGACGTCTATTTGGATTGGACGTCCGTCCATTCTAGGTTTTTTTTTAAATTTTTATATTTAAAAAAAAAATTAATAACGTTAAATGTAAGTCAGGAGATATGTAGATTGGCACAAAATTTCGATATAAAAACCTCAGAATCTGTAACATTGTTGATTTTAAATAGGATAGGGAAAAAATTGAAAAACAATCGCACCCTAGTAACCATCATATCGTACAGAAAAAAAAAAAAAGGGTGGACAAAGAACAACGATGGGGCATACCCTTCAGTCAGTCTCTATTAGGGACTTGGTTGACTCGAACTCACGTTCTTTTACGTGTATTTTGTTCAATCACTTGGTCACCCAATACTGGTTACAAAAAAAAAAAGTTGTAACGTATTGAGAACACTTTAATACTATATAAAGGAATTTGTGGGGAATTTTTTTTTCCTTTATTAAGTGCAGTAGAAGCGCTTTTTAAACGAAAAGTGCTTTTGGTTTCACATGGACACTTTCAAATTTCTGCTTTAACTGCCCTCCAAACCAATAAGTTCTTATTTGTAACTACTCTCTTCCTCTGTCTTTACAACTATGATTCTGTGAAGAGGCCATTAATGGCTTTACAAAGAAACATCTTCTTCTTTGAAACAGAATCATAGTTCAAGATTTAGTTCGTTCATTCCTTCCAATTCACTAGGCTTTTCAACTTTTTCTTTCAGCTTTTGAACAAGTAATAAAAGAAAAACACAAATTTTCTCAACAAGAGTCTCTGTTTTTTTCCGAACAGAAGTTGATGTTATTCAAAAACTCTGTTTTAGAATCTGAATTATGGTCAACTTGGATCCAGAATCTCATTTAGCCAAGTGGGTATCTCGCCTGGTGAGTATCTCTGTTCATTGGTTCTTTATTTTTTGTCATCTCTGTTTGTTTCCTGGTTAAATGAAAAAGAAAATGAAAGAGATGAAAAGAAAGTTCAGAGATGTATATTGCCTGTGTTTTTAATTTATTTCATTAACACAAAAAGGGGGTGACTTTTCTAAATAATTTGATCATTCATGTTCTGTTTTGATTTTCAGAATTTTTATTTCGAAAGATTATGTTTAACGTCAAAATACTGATCATTCAATGCATTTCAGTCCAAATTTTAACCGGCATGTTTAAAATTTCTCTTAAATTGTGCAATTTTGCTTTAAATTCTAAGAATTTTGCTTTAAATTCTAAATATTTTGCTCATGATAGATGAATAAATCATGCATGCTTTAATCCTTTGTGATACTTTCTCTTAAATTCCTCATAGCCCTTTTGCTGAAATGGTTCTATACTCTTGCCAGTAGTTTCTATAAGAATTCAGTTACCTTTTAATCATTTGGGTATGCTGTGAATTTATATTTTGTTTGCGTTATTGACAGAAATTCCACAGGACTACTCTATGCCTTGCCTACCAAAGTTTTGGTGTTGTTTATGGGGATTTAAGCACTTCCCCTCTGTATGTCTATAAAAGCATATTCTCAAGGAGTTTGCGCCTGAATCAAGATGACCATGAGATTCTTGGAGTTCTTTCACTGATCTTCTGGACTTTAACTCTCATCCCTCTTTGCAAGTATGTTATATTTGTATTAGGAGCAGATGACAATGGCGAAGGTGCTAAATCAATCCATATGNTGTGAAGAGGCCATTAATGGCTTTACAAAGAAACGTCTTCTTCTTTGAAACAGAATCATAGTTCAAGATTTAGTTCGTTCATTCCTTCCAATTCACTAGGCTTTTCAACTTTTTCTTTCAGCTTTTGAACAAGTAATAAAAGAAAAACACAAATTTTCTCAACAAGAGTCTCTGTTTTTTTCCGAACAGAAGTTGATGTTATTCAAAAACTCTGTTTTAGAATCTGAATTATGGTCAACTTGGATCCAGAATCTCATTTAGCCAAGAGGGTATCTCGCCTGGTGAATATCTCTGTTCATTGGTTCTTTATTTTTTGTCATCTCTGTTTGTTTCCTGGTTAAATGAAAAAGAAAATGAAAGAAATGAAAAGAAAGTACAGAGATGTATATTGCCTGTGTTTTTAATTTATTGCATTAACACAAAAAGGGGGTGACTTTTCTAAATAATATGATCATTCGTGTTCTGTTTTGTTTTTCAGAATTTTTATTTCGAAAGATTATGTTTAACTTCAAAATACTGATCATTCAATGCATTTCAGTCCAAATTTTAACCAGCATGTTTAAAATTTCTCTTAAATTGTGCAATTTTGCTTTAAATTCTAAGTATTTTGCTCATGATAGATGAATAAATCATGCATGCTTTAATCCTTTGCGATACTTCCTCTTAAATTCCTCATAGCCCTTTTGCTGAAATGGTTCTATACTCTTGCCAGTAGTTTCTATAAGAATTCAGTTACCTTTTAATCATTTGGGTATGCTGTGAATTTATATTTTGTTTGCGTTATTGACAGAAATTCCACAGGACTACTCTATGCCTTGCCTACCAAAGTTTTGGTGTTGTTTATGGGGATTTTCGCACTTCCCCTCTTTATGTCTATAAAAGCATATTCTCAAGGAGTTTGCGCGTGAATCAAGATGACCATGAGATTCTTGGAGTTCTTTCACTGATCTTCTGGACTTTAACTCTCATCCCTCTTTGCAAGTATGTTATATTTGTATTAGGAGCAGATGACAATGGCGAAGGTGCTAAATCAATCCATATGTTCATATCAAACATGTTTATGTATCAAATTACTGGTTGAGTTTTGTTGATTATAAGATAGCTAATCTTATGCAGGTGGAACATTTGCTTTGTATTCATTACTGTGTCGACACTCGAAGATGGGCCTTTTGTGAATCTACAATGTTTCCCATGAGCGTATATCATCTTACCACATGGATATGTCAACAAAAGAGATGAAAACTAGTGTACTTATTACAGAGTTCTTTGAGAAACATCATAGTTCTTGTATTGTATTGCTGCTTGTTGTTGTTCTTGGGACTAGTATGGTTATTGGTGATGGTATTTTGACTCCAACAATGACCGGTATGTGTTCTAAGTAAATCATTCTGGCTGTTTATTGACATAGTTTTAGTATCTTTTGCATCTGTGGCTGTATTTTTCTTTCATGTTTCCAATTTAGTTCACAATTTTCTACATTGCAGTCCTTTCTGCAGTCCATGGAATCCAAATCAAAGTTCCTGCTTTGCATGAAAGTAAGTACATGTTTTACTATTTGCTTTATTGTATTGTATTTTTATTTTTATTACCCATGTCTTCTTGGCTTGGATCCTAAAAAAGAGGTTTACAATACCAATATTCCTTTTGCATTGTTCTAATTCATGAATTTTGAGCACTGCTGAAGCGGGTATTTAGTAGGTTAACACTATATTACAGCTCCTTTAAGCAAATTCAATGTTATTTTTGCGATGTTTTTCCTTCTTATATAATGTTCATACATGCCAAATTATATTCTGTTCATTGCCTGCATCATCTTGTTGGGGCTTTTCGCTCTTCAGCACTATGGGACACATAGAGTTGGATTTCTTTTTGCTCCAATCTTGGTAGCTTGGCTGCTATGCATTATTGGAGTTGGCATTTACAACATATTTCACTGGAACCCTGGTGTTATTTTTGCTGTGTCACCACACTATATTTATAACATTTGACAAGAAGGCAGGAAAAGATGGATGGCATTCCCTGGGAGGCATTGTTCTTTGTATTGCAGGTTGGTAGCAACTTGTTTCATTTGAAAAGTGAACAGTTAACTATGGTATTGCAGCAAGGTTCTCCACCGGTTATGCTGAAAAGTTTTTATGCTTTATATTAGGTGCAGAAGCTATGTTTGCTGATCTCGGCCATTTCTCCCAGGTTTCTATCAGGGTATATTTCTTATCTTTAGTTTTTGATGCTTTTTTTATGTTCATTGAAGTCTTAATTGCTGTTTTCAAATGATCCTTGCTTCAATTTTTGACTCTGCCTGTTAGACAAGACATTCTTGGAACATTGTTTTGACGCATTACAACAATAGCAACTATGTGTTTCTAGCCTTTTTTCCGAAAGGTCTTTGTTATCATATGGCAGATTGCATTTACAGGTTTGTTTACCCTTGCCTAGTTTTGGCATATATGGGTGAAGCTGCTTACCTCTCCCAGCACAAAATGGACCTTCGGAGAAGTTTTTACTCGACCATCCCAGGTAAGGTTTGAGTTATACATCTCAATGAACCATAGTGGGAACCAACAGCTGCTTTTTTGGTAGAAGTTTGATGCTACATGTTCTTGAGAGTATTGATCAGCAGTCTCAGTTTACAATTCAACTTTAAGAAAGGATGCTATTTCCACTGAAATGGTATTCAAAACATTGTAAGACAGTAGTTGTTTTGTTTGGAGAAATCAATATCATTTGTGACAACAATATAAAGGCATATTTGCTTTTTGTTTTGTTTGAGCCTTTTAAATCTTTACGCTATAATTTTCAGCTTGATCTCATGTCTCTTTCATTACTCTTCCCTTATTTTATATTTTTCCTTGCCTTTCTGAGTTGGCATTTTGGCCTGTGTTTATTGTTGCCCCTCTTGCAACGGCAGTGGCTAGTCAAGCAATAATTTCAACTACTTTCTCTATTATCAGTCGATGTAGGGCACTGAGTTGTTTTCCACGAGTAAAGATAGTACACACATTGAATCAAATACATGGACAGATATACATACCAGAAGTGAACTGGATGTTAATGGTTTTGTGTCTTGCTGTTGTTATTGGATTTAGAGACACTGATATGATTGGCAACGCGTATGGTTTGTGTTTCCCAGACTTGTTCTTTATGCCTTTTTATCCATTGTTTTGTCATATGTCTGTGCTTTTATTGAGTTTCTTGATTTTGTCGTTGTGTTATATAGGCCTTGCTGCAATTACAGTGATGTTCTTAACAACCTGCCTGATGTTTCTAATCATTTGCGCTGTTTGGAAGCGAAACATTTTTATTGCATTTCTGTTTGTAATGAGTTTTGGATCCTTAGAGCTGCTCTATTTCTCTGCTTCCCTGGCTAAAGTACACCGAGGAGGCTGGCTTCCCCTTCTTATCTCGCTTGCACTTTTGACACTGATGCTCAGCTGGCACTATGGGACTTCAGAAAAACTTGCATTTGAGCTGCAGAACAAAATAAGCATAGCTTGCCTTGTGAGCCTTGGACCAAGTCTAGGAGTTTCAAGAGTTCCAGGAATTGGCCTGGTTTACTCCAATGTCACCTCTGGCGTCCCACCAACATTTGCACATTTTGTCACGAACTTTCTGGCATTTCATAAGATTCTTATCTTTGTGACCTTTCAGTATGTGATGGTCCCTAAAGTTCCGGCTTCTGAACAATTCCTTGTTAGCAGGATTGCCCCACCAGAATTCTGTTTATTCCAATGCATTGTGAGGTAATTTTCATATCTTTGAGTTCTAATTAATGCTCATTTATTTGTAATTCTTCAGTATCTAATGTGTTACTATGGTTAGGTACGGGTACAAGGATTTGAGGGACAGTAATGAGTTTGAGATTCTGCTGATTGAGAAGCTGATGCATTTCCTGAAACACGAGAGTAATGGCGAAGTGCAATCACCAATTCATATAACAGATGCATTGGCAACAAGAAATAAGGCCAGTGGTGGCGAAACTGGAGGAAGGAAAAAAGTGGTGTTTCAGGTTTTGGGATCACATGATAAGGAGGTAATGGAGCTTATGGAGGCCAAAGAAGCTGGTGTGGCTTACATGACAGGCAATACTCATGTTTTGGCAAGTGAGACCTCATCTCTTGCAAAGAAGTTTGCCATCAATGTTCTCTATGGATTACTTAGACGGAACTGCTGCCGTCCGGCAATCACACTCGGGATCCCACACACTTCACTGATTGAAGTAGGGATGGTCTATCATGTTTAACTTCATCACCAGGGCAAATAAGTTGATTCTGGCATAGCAATTAGATTCTGTAAACACATACGGAAAGAGCACAGTAATTTACGCATATAATCTGCTCCAGTAATGCCATTACTGTGCAATTTTGTTAAGTTTATTATGCATGAAATACTAAAGCATAATTCAGAATAAGGAGCTTGCTGGACTTGGGCCCTGAGCATTCAAATTCCTGATGGAAAATCTAAAGATTCCCTCATTCAGCTAATCAAAATGTAGGTGTTTGTTGCATTTACTTTCTTTTGATTTGGTCAATAAATTTGCTGTCTGCTGTCAAGTTAGCTTGAATTTCTGGTCATGGCCCTTCTTTTTGGCATGCTTTTTAAGTTTTATTGACATAAGCTTCTTTTAACGGCAAGAAGACAATTAGGTCAATAACCGTTAACTCCTAATTTCGGAAACTTTAAGAGCTGATTCAATTCTCTTAAAATTATTCGTGCTAGACTCAAGCAACCATAGAAGAGGCTTGAATTGTGACACATTTCAATTATATATATTTATCGAATTAATCCAAGTGGCATGGTGTTAATTAAGATGTACATTGTGTTATTCGCCAATGAGGATGAGATTGAAGTCACATCATTTCCTTCCTGAAGAATTCCAACTTGTAATTTAATATACAATAAATATACGATGAGATTTCAACTCTCAACTGCCCCTTTAATAAAATAATAACCAACAATATTTATCATCACCGATTTTAGTACACCATGATGTGGCTTGCTGTTGCCCTTTCATATTCGTAACTAATTTATATATTTAGAACAAATTTTTAATTAAATTGCTCAACTATATTTGTTAATTTCCTTTGTTTTTGGTCATTTCAGAATTAACATCTAGTTTATCTAAATATGAGATTGGTAATAAAATTTAGAATATTATAAGGGAGTGGTTGTTATTATTAGGATATTTTGACTCATTTTCTTATTTATTTCCGTGTAAAATTTTATGTCATTAGAAAAACTATTTAATATAATGTCATATAGGTGAGAAACAATTCAATGTTATGAGAGAATGTGAGAAAACAGTGTATTTGATTTAAAGGGTTATTAAACACCATGAGTATTGTGTACTTGTGTTCATAAAATTATAGTGGATTTCTCTCAATCGTAGATATAAACGGATTATGTCAAACCACGTAAATATTGTGTCTCTTTATATGATATGATTTTATTTTTATTATTAATTTCAAACTTATAATTTTCACTCAAAAGAGTCATATCTAATATGCAAAATGAATGCTATCTTGTAATTAATTATTTAAAAATTTCTTACATTAAATCAGACACGTTTGAGAATTTTCAACCTGATTGATACTAAAATAAAACTTGCCAATAGATATGAGATTTTATCTTTCAATAACAAGAACATAAGACCAAAGGTTAAATCCGAATTTTAGGTCCACACCTGAGAATTATTGATCAGACTAAATTGACTAATACTATATAACAAACACCATTTTTTTTTATCATATATTTATAACAAACAAATTGCTAAAAATGTGTGAGCATTGTCATTGATATCAGTCTTTAAATTAATGCAGTGCCATCTGGAAGTCCTTTTAACAGAAGGGCCTCATGCATTTATTCTCTTACCCGAAGTATGTAAAATCCTGAGCATATAAATTAATCAGCAGGAAACCAGAAAGCTAACTGCAACAACTTCAGCAGCTTGTCTCTCCATCCCTTTTCAGAATTCTCTCTGAAGCGTGATGTATTGTCCGTCCCTGGTAGCATATTACATATTCTTTAATGCATCAAAAGTTGTTTATGCTCTTTCTCTTCTTATTTTCGCTTCCTTTCACATCTTCATTCTCTCAGAAACGGCCATGAGGAATCATGATAATTTCCAGGAGTTAACAGCTTTTCTCTGTGAAGAAAAGGCAACCAACTGGGTCTGTCTGCAGTTTCAAGATAACCCTTCTGCTCATCTTGCTTCTAATGCTTCCTTTTATGGTTTCTGATAAGTTTTCTTCAAGTTTAATTTTTATGAAGAAGATGATGAGCCTTCTTCCTTTTCTTTCATCGGTTTCTGTACTTACATATTTATGCACAGTTAATGTATTTTTGCATATCAGTAATAATATATAAAATTTTCTTCTGTTTTTTTTTTTTTTTTTTTTTTGTTTTCTTTACTCTTGCGATTAATTATCAACAATTAGCTGGTTTAAATTTGGTTATTGACTCCGAATCTACATAATAAAACCTTAAAGAAGTCTACATGAGAGAATTGCTACGCTCTTGCTCTAACTAGAGTTTGCCTATGCACTTTTTGAGCTATGCCATGAATATTAGTTATTTAGCTAGAAATTGATGCACCGCGACCAGATGATACCCTGACAAAAATCTCAAGTTAGGTAGATGCATTTGTTTCTATATATAATAAAAACTCATATTCAATCACCGATCTTGTGATTGGATGACAAGATTTTAGTTATTTAGATAAATTATCAAGAGATCTTGTGTTTAAGTCTCATAAACTGATTATTTTCGACATTTATGACTTATTTGGTCTATTAAACTTATAAAATATTGCATGGATCTCAAAGATTAGTTAAGTATTTACTCGAACATTTTGATTATAAAAAAAAAGAAAAAACTCATATTTTATTATGACTTAATAATAGGCGAGAAAAAACTCAACATAAACATATACTCCCAAAATAATAGTCTCTACATATTGTACCTATAAAAAGTTTTTTCTATGTCGGCATAAATCTATGCAATAAATCATCGTATTCGTGCAAGTCACGTGTGTTGATGTGAAAGATAGAAGCCTTTAGTATCCATTTGCTTGTTTGTGTATAAATCAAGATTTTAGATTTTATAATTGTACACTAAAAATTGGGTGCCAGCCTGCCGGGCACACTTTTTTCTTTTATAAAAAAGAAAAAAAAAGTATTATATTTAAAAAATTAATCGTCTTACCTTGTGCTCTAAACAATTATTATTATANAAATCTATGCAATAAATCATCGTATTCGTGCAAGTCACGTGTGCTGATGTGAAAGATAGAAGCCTTTAGTATCCATTTGCTTGTTTGTGTATAAATCAAGATTTTAGATTTTATAATTGTACACTAAAAATTGGGTGCCGGCCTGCCGGGAACACTTTTTTCTTTTATAAAAAAGAAAAAAAAAGTATTATATTTAAAAAATTAATCGTCTTACCTTGTGCTCTAAACAATTATTATTATACTATAATTACAATAATGAATCAATAATATATCAATAGCAAAAATATTATGTTTATAACCTACTCTTACAACCCTAACGTGACAGTATAGTTGATATTATCACATCAACTGAAGACTTTAACTAAGCATGAATGACTGTTATTTAGAGACGAATGATCGTTTCTTAGAGACGAACGACTGTTCATTTATAAAAAACGACAATTCTTTATGAAGAATGACTGTTTCTTCGTAAGGAACAATCATTCTTTTATAAAGAAAGCCGTTTTTTTTTTATGAAGAAACGGTATTTCATTCTTAAGAAACGACCGTTCTTATCTAGTCAAAGTTAGTTAGTGTCTTGAGTGTAGTGGGAGTTGACATGATAATTGTTAACTCAACTACCATTAGGGTTATAAGAGAAGGTTGTGAGATTGGATTGTGGACATAGTATTACTCTATGAATAGAAGCCTTAGATAGTAACAATGTAACATCAATTAGTTCATTATCAATTCAGCTAAATAAGTGGGCTAGCTTTAGTCCAAGCTTCTTTAATGTATTGTGGACTTGGACCACTATAATATTCCCTCTTGGGCCTCATGAAAAGTAATCCAATTATTTGGGTCTATCAAAAGTCAATATATATATATATATATATTTGCGATCCGAGAAATAACAAAAATTCTTTTACGATCTATTTTTTGGTGTTGAAATAAAGGATAGAGATACAATTAAGTAAATACTCATTCATGCCATAAACTCTAACTGTATACTAAGTACTAACAACTAACTAATGATAGAAGAATTTGTATTATTATTAAAATCATAGAGAGCTTTGTTATTTGATTAAATTTCAAGGGGCCGAGATTAAAACCCCAATATTAAATACGAATTAAAATTTTGTTAATTATTTAATTTGAAATGTATTCACAATTATCAAATCATCCTGTTGACATGATAATATTAAATATACCATTTAATACGGGTATTTAAATGTATTTCGTATTCATTTGGTGACAACTGACAACCATATCTGAGGGTATATCCGTCATTTTAAACTCCAAAATAAAGCCGTTACAAACTTACGAAAGTTGCCACGCTCCCGTTAGTCGATTCACCGACCACGGGCATTTTCGTCCAACTATAGTTCTTTAAGATTTCTCAAATTTGACCGTTAGATTCAAAAAGGGGTTTAAAAATACACGATTTCTCTTTCTCTTTGTCTAATTTCTCTCTCTCTCAACGTTCTGATTCATTGATTCACATTCATGGCTGAAGATCAGAGCACAAAACCATCACTCATGGAGTCACGACAACCGCACCCTCTTTACCAAATCGCCGAAACTCCAACCCACAAACTCCTCCTCAAGCAATGGCTCAAAGAAGAAGAGCTAATTCTCAACAGAATCTCTCTTAAAGAGACTCAAATCGACTCAGTCCGTAAGGAATTAACACAACTCTACATCTTCTTCTTCCTCTTTCACTCAATCTCCCTCATTCTCCTCTTCAACGCCTCCAACGCTGAAAAGGGTTCCTGCAAAAGGTCATGGATTCCCTCCTTGTGTTTACTCCTCTGCTCTCTGGGGATGATCTGGGCTGTTAGATACAAGTCTGATGTTGAGAGCCACTTGGAGAAGCTCTTGGAGAGAGAAAAGGAGGATGCGAAGTTGTTGGCTAAGTGTGTCGAGGAGTTGAAGAAGAAGGGTATTGAGTTTGATCTTTTGAAAGAAGTTGATGCGCTGAGGAGGGCTAAGAGTTTGAGAGTTGAAGCTAAAGCTGTTAGAAAATGGTCAGCAAGGGACTTCGTTACAATGTTTTTCTTTAGTGTTTCTTGTGTTGTTCTTGGCTTGACTAGAGTCATTTTGTGTAGTTAGATTTAGGGTGTTAGCAGATGGATTTGGGGTTTTTTTGTCCATTAAATTGGGGGAGAATTGGTTTTGGGATGTGCCCACAAGTGCAGAATATTCTGTTCTGCTTTTGCAATTTGGTAATTTATATGGATAACTATGAAATAATATAATGAATATTTGTTTTTTGTTTGATTGCAAATGTTAGTTACTGTAATATTCTGTATTTCTCCCAATAAACTAAAACACCAACCAAATTATTCAACATTGATAGTTCCAATCAGAACAGTTCTGGCAGATTTTCATAAGTATATTCACAATCAGTTTCCTATATTTTGACTTGAGTTTGTTCATCTTGCATGATTTTTTTAGCATTATGAATTACACTGTGTGAAACTATTATGGAAAAAAAAAAAAAATGGAATCTGAAATTGAAAGCAGCAATTCAATGAAGCGGGCTTGAATATCACTTATTGATGGAGTTTTTATCCACTGTACTTGAACTTGTTGAGGAGATGTAATGGCTAATATCATCACATTCTTCTGTTGTTTTATTATCATTTTTTGTTTTATCTTCATTTTTTTATGTTTTTTTTTTTATTTTTTTTGTTTTTTTTGTTTTTTTTTTTATTTCTTTATTTTTTTTATTTATTTCATTTTTTTTTGTTTTCTTTGTTTTTGTTTATGTCTTTGTTTTTTTATTTTTTATTTCTATCAGGCATTTTACTTCTTCCTTGCTGAATTTAGATAATTTTGAGTCCACCAGTTCTAGATGGCGATTGTTTTCATATAGGTGCCAGGCCTGGGAGGAAAGACAGGAATTATGGTATGGGTGAGATCAGGAAGAGAAATAGAAAACAAAAAAAGGTAATAGCATACAAATCAAATCTGGCCTAGGTTGATCCACAGCTTTGCATACAGGACTTGAACCGTGCTGCAAGGGATTGATTCTTTCAAATTTGTTTATCAAGCACTAGGATGAGTTTACTTGGTCTCACATAATTCCTCAACACACTAAATCAAAATCATTCCTGAATTTAAATCAAACCTTTTACAGAAAATATGGACTGTGCAGTAAAAATCCAGTCTTCGTATGCTCTAATTGAATCGTAAAAGGGGGAAAAAATAGTGCCAAAATGTCATACCCAATCAAGAAGATACATCTTGCCTTCATCCAAGCTTGAATCTGAGTTTGGCCTCCCACTAACAACCTCCAGAGCCACAACTCCAAAGGCAAACACATCAGACTTCTCTGTAAGATGTCCACGCATGGCATATTCCGGTGCAAGATATCCACTATGTTAGTGTAACAAAAGCAACATTCATTACAGTACATCCAGTTTAAGAAGGAAATGAAAATATGAATCTTCAAAAATTCTTACATTGTCCCTGCAACACGAGTGCTTATGTGGGTCTTCTTCTCATCATAAAGTTTGGCCAAACCAAAATCTGATATTTTGGGGATGAGATTACTATCAAGTAGAATATTACTAACCTTCACATCTCTATGGATGATTCGAAGTCTCGACTCTTCATTTAGGTAAGCTAGACCTCTTGCTACTCCCAAACAAATATCATAGCGTGTCGACCAATCAAGATCCAAACTTCCATTTACTGCTCACAGAAGTCATAGGAAAGTTTGAACTGTGATTTCTATACTCAATAATGCTCGACTCCAAAAGGAGACATAGTACTGATAATATGCTATAAACATACCAAATAATGCTTGATCAAGACTCTTGTTTTCCAGATATTCATAAACAAGGATTTGCTGTGTTCCCTCATAACAGCATCCATGAAGTTTTACTAGGTTACGGTGCTGCACAGCGGATACGATAGCAATTTCTGCAACAAACTGGCTCTTCCCTTGGTGGGATGCTACAGACAATTGCTTCACAGCAATCACCCTTCCATCACTGAGTGTTCCCTATTGAGTATAGAGTTCAAGTTAACAGGTGAGAGAAATCTGGAAAAACTAGATCAACTTTGGATATTTATTATTTATCTTTTTTCAATGCTCCTATTACTAGAAGGCTCAACTTCATGGACCAAACACTATATTTTATGGATAAAAAAAACATAAATCAAAAGTTTCATAGCTGTATAAAACCAAAAGATTTATGTTTCGTTGAACCTATGACAAAAAGTAATTCTGCAACCTGTATTTAGTTCTGGAAAAACAATTAATGTTAAGGCACTGAAATGTGCTCAGCACTTGTTTGGCACTGATGAGAACAATGACATACCTTATAAACTGGTCCAAATCCTCCCTCTCCAAGCTTATTTGCAGGATTGAAACCTTCTGTAGCAGTCCTCAGTTCAGCATAACTGAAAGAGTATGGTCTAGCATCTATCCCTAGAAGCTCTGAAAATTCAACAATTAACATGGCTTACTGTTGTGAACTTGTTAGATAATCAAATACTTCTGGGAATCTTTTGCCAAGTTAAAGCCGAGAAAAGCTGGAAAGAACATTTGCAATTGCCTAATCAGGGCATAGTAACGTTTTGAGTAACATGAAAGGGCCAGAAAGCAGTTTGGTAAAAAGTAATTGCAATATAATTTAGCAAAACGTAGTTGACCAAACTGCTTGTGTATGTATATTGAATTATTTTGGTTGTTTTTAAGATGCTATTGAAAATAAAACTTATTAGAAAGGTCAAATGTATTGTAAAACAGCTGAACTTTAATTTCTTACTTATGTTCAATCCTATTTATTGCACTAACTTGTACTACATTTAAGAACCTACTAATGGACCTCTGTTTTGTAAATTGAACAAACATTTGTTAAATCCTTTGGTCCCTTTTTCTCTAGGAAATATGATAGATAAGGCGTTAGTGATAGCGAAGATCTTTTTTTTTACTGTCATCATCAGTCTGTTGCCTTCTTCTTCGGACAATGAAGAAAACTGCAAGAAGTAACAGAAATACAACCCCAACACCAACTGTAATCCCCACTATTAGGCCTGTTCTGTTCTTCTGAATTGGAGGTCTTACAGTAGGTTTGAATTCTGTATTGAAGGTAGTTAACTCAATATCTTACATAATCTAAGAAAATCAACCAAAAGAGGAAAAAGAAAAAAAGGAAGTTGGTATTTCTTTAACCTGGGGTAGCACTGATGGCCCAAATAGAAGGTCCATATGTACCTTGATCAGGAATACAGCAAGTTCCTTTCCCAGCCCAAAACAAGTGGATTTCCAGGTAGTTTTCAGATACCTGAGCCTTATATTCTCTCTAAAATGCTCTTCTAGGGACTAAACTTATTATGTCAAAGTCATTTTCAACATGATTTCCTTGGAACAAACAGATTTAAAGATTGAAATGAAAACCTGTAACAGTTGACAGGAGAAAGTTATTGGGAAACAAAATACATTTAAGGTCATTCATCTTGCTTTAACTTCATCATAAACAGATGTGATACATAGGTGAGCTTCGGCTAAAATAATCTGAACGTGTAATACATACCTGAACATATATATCGAAAACATGCCTTGCCAAACTTTTCCATCCGGTAGTATCAAAATCATATATTTCTGCAAATTGGAGAGTCACAGTGTAGTTTCAGTTTTCAAGGCCTAAACCATAGTACCTTAGAGATGAAGCAGAGATTTGAGCTGTTTGAAAAAGTTCTGAGTCCTGAGTATTTGTGACTTCAGAGGTATAAGAACTTTTATACGTTGGATTTTCTCTCCCAGTAAAATATCCAATATTACTAACTCTCTGTCTATCTGCACTCACATAGTATGTAGCTGGACCAAGATTCTCATCATCACTCTCATACAAAATACCATTATAAGATGTAATTTCTTTACCACCACATTTAACGGTGAAGCTAGAATCTGCATACTAGTACAGTGACTTAACAAGGTACAAAATCAAGAATATGCATGTCTAAATGTTTAATTTATAATTGTTATGGTACTCCTCCTAGATATGACCTTATTACTATTAATGTGTTTAACTCTTGAAACCACAAAATATAGAAGTTGTACTTACAGATTGGAGAACCTCGATTGCAAGGAAAATTGCGTTGGAGACAGTTCAGCCCATGTGGCAAAGCACTGAAGGAAGAGGAAGAAGGAATATCGAAATTATGTTAGACAGCTGGAACTATCCACTAAAGCACCCATTTCTATAAGTTGTCCATTATTATTAATTTTCACTGTTGTTATAGAAAGTTTCAAGCATTTCAATAATACATAGAACCAGAGAATCACCTGCTGTTAGAACTTTCTAGGTTGAAGTTGTTGGCAACTAAGTTACTGCACATTGTACCAATAACATTCTGAATGTTAGTTTCATCATAGTGTAAATACTAAAGAAAGATGATATACAGTTAGTTTCATCATAGTGTAGGTACTAAAAAAGGTGAAATATAGTACTAATTTTACAGAAATTATATGTTTAAAAGAATTTAAGAACTTACAGTTGTAAGTTTTCATGGCTGATCCAAGAAGGAAGGCGGCCAACTAGATTATTGTAAGATACATCTCTGGAAGCATCAGGTGAGGAGACTATTAGTTACTCAATGCAGCTGCTAGTAAGTATAAAATTCAGGCATTATCCAATTCACATGAGTGTTTTTGATAAGCTTTTGACACCATCTAAAACTGCAAGTTCCCCATGTTTTTGCAAGAATCCCACAAGTCTATGTTACAAGTTTAGCTAAGCGTGTTAATTTACATTATCCAAAGAGAAGCAATGCACTTGAAATTGTGAAGATTAATCAAAATGCAAGTTTATCCTTTTATGTGAGTGACTTTTGCAGCAAGCCAGGGTTCCCAACAAAACTTGTTAGTAACTATTAACCTTTCCAGTTGATACATCAATTAGTAGAGCAATTCCTTTCTGGTATGTTGAAATGAGATTGATGCACATATGTCAAAAGTACTTACATATTGAGTAGATGTTGACTTTTTTCTGCAGGGAGGGTACCATTTAACTTGTTATTTCCAAGAAACCTGAGTACAAAACCAGCAGTACATTTTTCTATATAATGAGAAAATTCTTGGAGGTAAATGAAACCACAAAGCAAAAATGGTGGATTACAGGTGAGTCAATGAAGTCAAACTGAAAAGTGAGCCAGGAATCTGTCCACGTAGATTGTTAAAACTCAGATCCCTGAAGAAAAAGTAATACAATTACACAATTGTAAGATGAAGAAACTAGCTAACAACCAAAAGTAATGGAGGGAAAGATAAAAGGTTGAAAGGGGAATAAATAACTTACAGATGCACCAATCTCTGGTAATCGCCAATGTTAGATGGAATTGAATCGGAAATTTTGTTATTCCTTAGTTCTCTGCAGTATATAAAACCAACATTCCAGATCAAAGAAAGAAGAGGAAGAAAAACACAAAAGGTATACATGAGGTAATTCAACACAAGATATTAGAACTTGACAGTGTTGCCTTACAAGTAAGTTAGTTTTTTCATATTTGTTAGAAATGCCAATGATGATGAGCTCCCATTGGATAAATCGCTTATTCTCCTACATTTTCATTTTCCAAGAGATTGTTAGCATTGATTATTGGGAAATTCAAACATGATCAATGAAATGTTGTAGGTGAACACTCACAACTCAGTCAGCTTTGTCAACTTGGAAAAGGAGGATGGTATCGGGCCTTCAAATGAGTTTCCTTGAAACCTCCTGCAATAACATTTAGGAAAAGAAAATTTTGAACTGTATTGACGTAGCATTCAAAGTAGAATGTACCTTTAAGTACCCAAATATTCTCAGTCTCAAACATTATAATAAGAGTGTTTGATTCTAGATTCACAGTGAAGAAACTTGAAGCTAAAATAACTTAAGAGTGACTGAGAACAAAATAAAGAAAAAAATTAGGATAGTTTTCTTACAAGGTTTCAAGATTTGATCAATTTCCTATAAAGTTAGGGATCCTTCCTGTAAATTCAATGTTAGAAGCCCACCTGAGCACAATAAAAGAATTTGTTTAAGAACTGATCCAAGCCATTTTTCATCAGCAGGATGTATATCTGTATTAGAGAATTTGCAATTACCAGAACAAAATCAAAAAGTTCTTACAGTTGAACCAGGTTCTGTAGATTAGCAAAGCTTGAAGGAATCTCACCACTCACTCCAGAACTGTCCATATATTTGCCCAAGCAAAGACTTTTTTTTTTTTTAATAAATTTCATCACAATTCAGTAACTTGTCTACCATAAAAGCCATTTCCAAGTAAACGAATTACACAACATATTGTAGTAGAATCTTATGTAAAGTAACAGAAGAATGAATTCCACCGTTTGAATCTTGTGCAAAACATAATAGGGTAGAATATATGCTCAATGTCAGTAAAATTTTGCATTGAAAATGAAACTGAAAAGTCTACAACAACTTACAATTTCTTTAGTTTCTTCAAATTACCAAGCTCAGGTGGCAGAGGACGAGAGAGTCTCAATGCTGACATATACAGTTGCTCTAAATTTGACAAATTACCAAGCTCAGGTGGCACACGACCAGAGAAGTTGTTTGTTCCAATACCTCTACATCCTCAAGAATATAGTTCTTCAGTTACAAAAAAGAGTCCATTCAGATAAATCATTAGAATTTAGAAGTCACATAGTTAAAGACGGGGACAAACTTTTGCTAACTCAGCAACGTTTTTTTTTGGGTGATTTGGCAAGAAAGCAATAAAAAGATCTTTGAAGATAGATGTGAAGAATATATAATAAAAATATATTCATACGCTTCGATTGGGAAATAGTTTTGGGTTGATTTCATGCTATTGGCATGGTTGCTCGAGTTTTCCATTGCTTTTTTGAGTTGGTCAATCTATACTACATAGAATTCTATGATTCATTAAATAGATCTTTAACTTTTGTTGACAACTTGTTAAATCTTTGCAGTTATTTCAATCATATGATATCTAGATATTCTTAAAAAAAAAAGAAAAGGGATATACTTTAAATTTACAGTGCTATTAACTCAGGAAGCATGCCAAGTTTTTTTTGGAAGCTGCCCAGATAATGTATTAACGCTAATGTTCCTGATCAGAATGGAACTAATTAACATCAGTAAAAGAAAAATTGTAGTAGCTTCAAAATCAAAATTTGTTTATCCGCTGCTTACAGGTATTTAATTGCAGTTAGATTGTGTTGCGAACCTACCCAGAATTCTCAGTCATTCACACACACACAGCTCATAACAGAAACAACAGCAGTTTATTGCAACATTAAGAATTCCAGAATAACAGAATAAGTGTATTTCATTGATGACATCAGCATTACACCAGTATGGTTTGTATCTCAATACCAGATCTACTGAATTTAGTTGGTCACCAATGGAAACAATGAAAATAAGAGGAACCAACAATAGAACAAAATAGAAACAGATATGCTGGACTTCGAGGGCCAGCTACCTCCCCTTTTCCTAACTTCTTTCTCGATGCCTATTTACCCTTCTGCTGCTCCTTTTATTCATTTCTTCTACTAACAGAATTTACCCTTCCTCCAGTAATCTTTTGCCACCTGTCCCACTACCTTCAATTCACACTTTAGTTGCTTCTTTTAGTATTATTGATCCCCTGGTGCTCCTTCCCACGCTTCTTGTACACCCGCACTTCGCGTGTTGTATCAATACCCTCCCGAAGGAGAGCCACCTTGTCCTCAAGGTGGAATGAAGGAAATTGCAGTTTCAGGGTGTCATATTCTTTCCAAGTATTCTCATGGTGGGGTAACCCCTTCCACTTAACAAGAACCTCTCTTTGTCCATTGAGTAACCTGCGGAGCTTAAGTACTTCCTCCAGTTCAACCACTAAGACCAGGTCCTCATTTAGTGAATCCGGAAGAGGCTGAATATGTTGTGGTGGAAAATTGGCCTTCTTGAGTGGAGACACATGAAACACATTATGGATACGGGCAGTTTCTGGTAGTTTTAACCTGTAAGCTGTGGAACCAATTTTCTCAAGGACTTGGAAAGGGCCATAGAACCTGGGACTTAGCTTTTCATTGCAGCGGAAAGCTAGAGATTTCAGACGGTAGGGCTGTAGCTTCAGGTAGGCAGATTCTCCAACTTCAAATTGGACATCCCTTCTCTTCTCATTTGCAGAATTTTTCATGCGGTTTTGAGCTTTGTACAAATTCTCCTTAAGCTCAAGTAAAATGCTGTTGCGGGTCTGCATTTGTTGATTAACTTCATCCACCGGAGAACTGTGGTCTGTGTATTTCAACAACGCTGGAGGGTCTCTTCCGTATAAAGCTTTGAAAGGGCTCATACCCGTGGAGCTGCTATATGTAGTGTTGAACCAGAATTCTGCCCACGGAATCCAGTGAGGCCACTGCCGAGGCTGATTTCCCACAAAACAGCGGAGGTAAGTTTCCAAACACCTATTAATAACCTCCGTTTGCCCATCCGTCTGCGGATGATAATCCGAGCTCATATGAAGTTTAGTTCCAGCCTGTTTGAACAATTCTCCCCAAAAATGGCTCATGAACACATGATCGCGATCCGACACAATCGTTCTTGGAAACCCATGGAGCTTAACTACATCTTTAATGAATGCTGCTGCCACGTCCTTTGCTGTTAAAGGGTGTTTGAGTGTGAGGAAGTGGCTATATTTAGTGAGCCTGTCGATTACCACCAGGATAGTGTCCACATTGTGCACTTTTGTGAGTCCCACTATAAAGTCCATAGAAATGTCTTCCCAAACCTGAACTGGAATAGGGAGGGGCTGTAATAATCCGGCAGGTCGCAATGCTTCATATTTATTCTGTTGACACACATTGCAGGAGTTCACATATGTCTAGATATCCCTCTTCATTCCATCCCAATAAAACACATTCATCAGCCGTTTGTAAGTTCGAAAAAATCCAGCGTGACCTCCAATCGGGGATGAGTGGAATTCATGCAAAAGTTTTTGAATATGAGGGCCTTGTTTCGGAACAACCAACCTGTTGTGATACATGAGGTGTCTACCCATTAGCTTGAAAGGAGGATGGCAATGAGGGTCGACCAGGAGCTTTTGTGTGAGCTGCCGCAACTTGTCATCTTTTTGGATGGCCTCTTCCAGTTCATCTAACCCACCGAAAAAGCCCACTGAAATGGCGTTAATCTCCACATTCTCAGGCCTCCTGGATAAAGCATCAACGGCTTTGTTCTCTGGCCCGGGTCGATACTGTATTTCAAACTGTAACCCGAGCAGTTTTAACACCCACTTCTATCGGTCTTCATTCAAAAATCTCTGTTCAGTAAGGGAATGGAGGTTTTTCTGGTCAGTTCTGATGAGAAAGCGTCGGCCTAGCAAATAATGTCTCCACTTCTGGACTGCCAACACAATAGCCATCAGTTCTCTTTCATAAACCGACTTGAGTTTCGAATTGGTGGACAGACCTTTACTGAGAAATGCAAGAGGCTGCCCTTCTTGCATTAAGACAACTCCCAATCCAAACCCCGATGCGTCCGTTTCAATAACAAACTATTTAGAGAAATCAGGCATCCTTAGCACTGGTACACTACTCAGAGTAGATTTCAGAGCTTCAAATACTGACTGCGGTTGCTCACCCTAACTGAAGGCATCCTTTTTTAACAGGTTAGTCAGGGGAAGTGAGATTTTTCTGTATCCTTTTACGAACCGTCTATAGTACCCAGTCAGTCCAAGGAACCCTCTGAGTGTTTTAATATCTGTTGGGCGGGGCCAGTCGACAATACTCTCAATTTTAGAGGGATCCACCGCCAATCTGTCTTCTGAAATTAAATTGTCCAAATATTCCAATTGGGGTTGCCCAAAGGAACATTTTTTTTGGTTGGCCACTAAATGGTGCTCCAGCAGTTTCTGAAATGTCAGACTGAGGTGCTGCATGTGGTCTTCCATTGACTTGCTGTACACAAGAATATCATCAAAAAAAACCAGAATAAATTTTCGAAGGTAAGACCTGAATACCTCGTTCATCAAAGCTTGGAATGCGGATGGGGCGTTGGTCAGTCCGAAGGGCATAACTAGGAATTCGTAATGCCCTTCATGAGTGCGGAAAGCCGTCTTGTGCGTGTCCTCAGATTGCACTTTGATTTGGTGGTAACTTGACTTTAAGTCCAGCTTGGAAAATACCTCAGCTCCCCCAAGTTCATCGAACAATTCATCAATGGCGGGAATGGGAAATCTGTCGGGAATGGTTAGTTTATTGAGTGCCTTATAATCTACACAAAAACTCTAGCCACCATCCTTTTTCTTAACCAACAGCATCAGACTGGAAAAAGGACTGATACTAGGCTTAATAATCCCCGAGGCTAACATCTCCCCAATGATCTTCTCAATTTCGTTTTTCTGGTAATACGGGTATCTATAAGGCCTAAGGTTTGGGGGTTGGGCATCTGGTATTAATCGAATTGCATGATCCTGTGGTCCACTAGGGGGCAATTCCGGCAGAGCCTCAAAGATAGATCTGAATTGTTCTAACACTGGAAGCAACCTGCTACTGACATTGGCCTCTTCATCTGACTGTTTGTGCAACTGTCCAAATTCAACCATGTATCCAGTTCCTTCACTCCTCAACGTTCGGAGCATGGCTTTCAAGGAAACCATTGGTTTGCTAAGTGCAGGATCCCCCATAATTGTCACCGTTTCCTCACCCAATTTAAATTTCATCACCTGCTTCCTCCAATTCATCGTAGTCTCTCCTAATGTTTCCAACCAAGCCATGCCTAGCACCACATCTGCACTACTCATGTCAAAAGGAAAAAAATCTTGAATTATTTGTACTCTCTGGACTTCCAAACATACTGCCTTACACTCTCCCTCACACCGTACTTTATATCCATCTCCAACTCTCACCCCAAACGCCTGTGTTCGTTCTACAGCAATACCCAGCTTATCTACAAACTCTCGGCTAATGAAATTGTGGGAAGCACCACTGTCAATCAAGATAATAACTTCCTTACCCATAATACTTCCCTTTAACTTCATCGTTTTTGGGCCATTGATTCCAACAACCGAGCTAAGGGAAAGTTCAACATTACCTTGGCTTTGTTCTGCCATCGCTCTTTCACTGATTTCCACGTCTCCCGGATCCAATTCTTCTTCTTCTTCTTCATCAACAAGGATTACTTGAAACTGCTTCTCCCCACACTTATGGCCAAAGAAATACTTCCCATCACACTTGAAGCACAACCCTTTCTCTCTTTTCCGCTGTATTTCGGTCTCAGTCATTTTTTGAAAAGGAAATTCACGCCGTGGTGGATAGGTTCTATTGAAGGGTCTGAATGTTGTAGAGGTGTATTCGCGAGGAGAAGAATTTACCGATGAACCCACGGCAGCACCATCTGCGTTTCGTCGCCCGGAATTGGAGAATGAATTTGAGAAAGAGTTTGATTTTAGGGATTCCGTCGAAATTGGGGCTTTCAGTGAATCTCCCGATCGGGTTGAGGTTGGGTTGAAACTCCTGGATCCAATATTGCTTGACCCGACATTTAATCTAGGTCCATTCCACCTATGGGTTCTTGCTGGTCCTGTCTTAAGTTCCTCTAAAGCTCGGTTACGCTCCTCTACTCTGTGGGCTTTCTCTATTGTTTGGAGAAGGGAAGTGGGCTGGATCAGCCTCAGCTCAGCTCGAATTTCTGCCTTTAACCCATTTAAAAACACGGCGTTCAGGATCTCATCTTTCTCTTCCACCAGCAAAGCAGCTACCGCTTCGAATCTTCTTCTGTAATCAGTGACTGTACTGTTTTGCTTCATGGCCATAAGAGTTTCATAAGGATTACTCTCTTGAGATCCGCGAATCTCTGAATTAAGGCAAGTTTGAATGATGGCCACGAAGTTACAGGTGCCCTGACCTCCATCCATTGATACCAATTAATGGCTTCCCATTCCATGCACACTGCCGCAGTTGTTAGCTTACCTTCATCAGGGATTCCATTCAGAGTAAAATACCTTTCAATTCTAAAGATCCACTCGTAAGGATCCTCACCTACAAAAATGGGTAATTCCAGTTTCCTTCCCCTCAACTCACTCTGATTTTGTTCCAAACTCCCTGATCCACTTGCTCTGTTTTGATTTTCCCCCTCTTGATTTCTCACGTTTCTGGATGAATTTTGTTCCCCACGTCCAGCTTCTTCTTCATCCTTTCTCCTCATCCAACTCTGTATCTCTACCATGCATTCGCGAATCGTCCCCATATCCACGCCCAATTTCATCACCTCCCGTTCCACATTTTCAAGTCTAAAGTCCATTCTGGTAGCTACCATAACCCACACACTGGCTCTGATACCAATTTGTTGCGAACCTACCCAGAATTCTCAGTCATTCACACACACACAGCTCATGACAGAAACAACAGCAGTTTATTGCAACATTAAGAATTCCAGAATTCCAGAATAAGTGAATTTCATTGATAACATCAGCTTTACACCAGTATGGTTTGTATCTCAATACCAGATCTACTGAATTTAGTTAGTCACCAATGGAAACAATGAAAATAAGAGGAACCAACAATAGAACAAAATAGAAACAGATATGCTGGACTTCGAGGGCCAGCTACCTCCCCTTTTCCTAACTTCTCTTTCGATGATTATTTCCTCCTCTGCTGCTCCCTTTATTCATTTCTTCTCCTGACAGAATTTGTCCCTCCACCAGTTATCTTTCGCCACCTGTCCCTCTACCTTCAATTCACACTTTAGCTGCTTCCTTTAACGCTATTGATCCCCTGGTGCTTCTTCCCACGCCTCTTGTTATACACCAGCACTTCGCGTGTTGTATCAGACTGCTGACAGATGGAGACAAGGGACCTGACAAAAGATTTCGTTCCACGTTCCTATTAGAAACAGAAACAAGAGGTAAAATTAATGTTTAAGAACACAAAGCTCAAATCATTTTGTGAAGTTGATACAGTGTCATGTCTAGAGATTTAACATTACTAAATAAGAATAAAGTAAAATATTTAATAACCAGTCATCCTCATCTAATGGTCTAAAAATTAAAAACAATTGAAATAATTAAGCATAAACCATACAGATTGGTGAGGAAATTTAAACTCCATATCTCATCTGGGATCACACCTTCAACTTTCAGTTCGTAAACCTGCCTATAATTTGAGAAAATGTAAAAGTAAGAAACCATGAAATCATTGAAATTAAGGTCCTTTTGTGTACACTAAATAAAGAAACATGTGACCCTCAAATACGGAGTTTGAATTTTTTTCTTCTTTTTTCTGTTTATTCAAAGGTTTAAATGTTAAGACACTTGCATCTCGATGATATAGCAGAGAGTGTTGTTATTGTAAGAACAATCACATTTGATAAAACGGTTGTAAGCATCGGCACGAATGGCGACGGAGAAGTCAATGGCAGCTCCACTGCATGGCTCTCCACTTATATTCCAGTGATTTTGATTTGCAGATATCCCCCATTTTTCAAATAATGAATTCAGTGCTTTCACCATTATCAGAAGAATGAAAACAAGTATGTATTAGCTAGAAAATCACCCTCATATGAAAGCAAAGATACACCAATTTGAGTACGTTTGTATTTTCTTTAAAATTTAAACTAAAATAATAAAAAAAAGAAGAGGGAATTTGGAAGCAGACCTTCGTTAGGAGCAGTATTAACTTGAGCTTGAGTTTGAGTTACATGATGTACAAGAAGGTTCAAGAAAATCCAACTCACATAAGAAAAACAAACAACAACTGAAATTGAAGCTGGCGATTTCATCACCATGATCGTACATGCATGAGCCAATATTATGCTTCACTTCAAGCATATAATAGCTGGCGAATGGCCATTTCATCATCACGATCGTCATGAAGACTTACCTTTTCTGGGTCGAAGAGTCGAAGTTGACTTCAGCTATCTACTTTTTTTGTTGTCTCTCTCTCCCCTTTTCTCTGTGGTTTCTTGGTCGAAGACTCGAAGTTGACATCATTTCCAAGTCAATTTGTTTCCAATTTAATTGTACGTTTGAATGCAAATTTCTATACCTAATCCATAGAATAGTATATAAATAAATTTATTTAGCTTTTATTTTATAAATTCACTTTGTTTTTCTTCAATGCAGCCAATATTTAACTTTAGTATATTTTTCCTTTGTAGTTTCTTGTATGGTTCTTGGCTTGACTAGAGTCCTTTTGTGTAGTTAGATTTAGGGTTTTTGCAGATGGGTTTGGGGTTTTTTTGTCCATTGAATTGGTGGAGAATTAGTTTTGGGATGTGCCCATAAGGGCAGAATACTCTGTTTTGCTTCCGTAATTTATTGCTTTATATGGATAATAATGAAATAATATGATGAATATTTGTTTTTAGTTTCACTGTAAATGTTGGTTTCAATCATCTGTTACTTTAATGTTCTTGTATTCCTCTTACTAAACTAAAAGATCAACCAAATTATTCAACATTGATAGTGACAATGAGAATGGTTCAGTGAGACATTATTTTGACATTATGAAGAACACTTTGTGTTGAACTAATATGAAACAGAAGTGGAATCTAAACTAAAAGCCAATCAATGGAGCGGGGCTTGAGTTATCACTTATTTGGGGAGCTTTATCCATTGTACTTAAACTTGTTAAAGAGATGTGATGGCTACCATCATCACTTCCTTCAGTTGTATAATCACAAAAAAAAGGTCGCCACTCGCCACATCAGCAAATGTCCATTCAGTCAAGTTTCCGGGCTTGGAATTTACCGTACTCACTTCAATATCTCCACAAAGCATAGCAATCAAACGGGACATAGATGGCGTTGATGACGGCAATGACTGTGTACACAAAAGTACCACCCCTATCAAGCGTTTTACTTCTTCCTTGTTGAATTTTGATAATTTTGAGTCCACCAGTTCGAGTAGGCGATTCGTCTGGTATAGATGCCAAGCCTGGGAAGCAGGAAAGATACAAGTTATGATATGAGTGGCTGATGGATAAAAGGTATTGGCATGCACATCAAATTTGACTCGTGTCATCAAAAAGCGACAAACTAGACTCATTTAGACTGTTGGGATTCTTCCATTTTTTTCAGGTACTTTGTTTCACTGTAAACATATACCTGAGTTTTCATGAACTGACAATAATAAATGTTTATTGGTGCTGTTATTACGATGATGCAAACCAAAACAAAGGGCTAGAAATCATTTTGGCTCTAGTAAAAGAAGGGCACTGAGGTATAATATTCTACATAATTGTCATTCATACCTAATCAAGAAGATACATCTTCTCTTCTTCCAAAGTTAAATCTAAGTTTGGCCTCCCACTAACAACCTCTAGAGCCACAACTTCAAAGGCAAACACATCAATCTTCTCTGTAAGATGTCCACGCATAGCATATTCTAGTGTAAGATATCCATTATGTCAATTCAACAAAAGTAATTCAATACAGTATGTTCCATGAACATAAAACATAAAGATCTTAACAGATTTAGGAAGACAATAAAAATATGAATCTTCAAATCTCTTACATTATCCCTGTAACACAGATGCTTATGTGAATCTTCTTATCATTATAAAGTTTGGTCAAATCAAAATCTGATATTTTGAAGATGAGATTACCATCAAGTAGAATATTACTAGCCTTCACGTCTTTATGTATGATTCAAAATCTCGAATCTTCAAGAAGATAAGCTAGACCTCTTGCTACTCCTAAACATATATCAAACGCGTTGACCAGTCAAGGTTCAAACTTCCTTTTCCTGCTTCACAAAAGTCATATAAAAGTTTGAATATTGATTTCCATACCCAATAATGCTAGGACTCCCAATAAAAACATAGTACTGACATGCTATTCACATACCAAATAATGCTTGATCAAGACTTTTATTTTCCAGATATTCATAAACAAGAATTCGTTTTGCTCCCTCGTAACAACATCCATGAAGCTTTACTAGGTTACGATGCTGCATAGTAGATACAATAGCAATTTCTTCAATAAACTGGCTCTTCCCGTGGTGGGATGCTATAGACAATTGCTTCTTAGCAATGACTCTTCCATCACAGAGTGTTCCCTATTGAGTAAAGAGAAAGACATCAGTAAAAACTTGATCAACCTTTTGTATTTATTATTTACTTTTTTTCAATGCTCTAATTATTAGAAGGCTCACTTCATGTACGAAATACAATATTTTATGGACCAAAGAGAACATAAATCAAAAGTTTCCTAGCTAAATAAACTGAAAAGATTTGCAGGTTAGGCCTTTGTCTTCTGTTTTGGGCTGTAGCAGGCCAAGGTTTGACTGTGGTGGGTGTGGAAGGAATTGCAGAATCTCAGGGAGCTATAGCAGAAAATTCTGCAGTAGCCCACCTGCAGATTTGCTTGACTCTTCTGGAGGTTTGCTGTGGTTGGCCATGGAGTATTTGTCTGGTTCATTTGGAATTATTTCCTTGTAATATATGTAGAAGCACTGGGATTATGATTTCTTTGTTAAATTTGCACGTTAATCAGCTTCGTAATTGGTTGGCACATTGGAATGAACAATTTCTTGGTAGTGGAACTAAAGTAGCTTGGGATGTCTTTTTGGTCTTGTGGGTTTTGCCTTTTGATCTTTGGAGGGTCAAGAAGCTCCAGCCTTGTTTTTTTCTTGGCTTGTGCAGGCTTTTTTGTATAGACTCTAGGGTCTTGGGTAGTTTATTTCTCTTTTGCGTCCAAGGAGTGTTTTTTTTTCGGCTTCTTTTGGTAATTTGTATGGCCTTGTGCCTTGGCCTTGGGTATGCCCAGGGTCTTGTCTCTAAAGGGGTGATCCTTTTATAGGTTCTTATTCTTTATTCTTTTCTTTTACTAAAATTACCGGGTTTAACAGGAAAAAAAAAAAAAAAAAAAAAAAAAGTGAAAAGATTGTGTTTCCCATTGAATCTATGACAAAAAGCAATGCTGCAACCTAATTTTGTTCTGGAAAAACAATTAATCATATAAGGCAATAAAATGTGCTCAGCACCCTGTTTGGCATTGATTAGAACAACGACTTATTATAAACAGGTCCAAATCCTCCCTCTCCAAGCTTATTTGCAGGAATGAAGCCTTCTGTAGCAGTCTTCAGTTCAGCATAAGTGCATAACTGAAAGTGTATGGTCTAACATCAATCCCTAGAAGCTCTGAAAATTCAACAATTAACATAGCTTACTGTTGTGACTTGTTAGTCTAATCAAGTACTTTTGGGAATATTTTGTCATATTAAAGCTGAGAAAAAGCTGGAAAGAACATTTGCAATTGTCTAATCGAGGCATAGTAAGATTTTGTGTGACATGAAAGGGCCAGAAAGCAATTCGGTAAAAAGTAATGGCAATTAAGCAAAACGTAAGTCAGCTGGTGCCTGGCTGGCTGGTTGGGAGCATTTGGAGACTTTCCGATGACAGTAGGGGTCATTGTAATTAAACAATCTCTTAAGGGGGAATAAAATTTAGCCAATGGAAAACATGGAACGTTATTTTTTTTTTTAATCTTTTTATATATTTCTGTCAAATCCCGGGTCACGGGATTGCAAAAGATTGTTTTGAGTTTTATTAGACAAGTATTATTCCCTTAACCCAAATCTTAAATATATAAAGAGTAAACTACTTTTTCCCACCCAAGGTTTGCCTTAATTACACTTTTTCACTCAAAAAGTTTCAAAATACCACTTTCTCATCCAAAGTTAATATTCCGTTATTACCTAAAACCGATTATAATAACAAAAATTTTCTTCGTCACCACCATTTGAACCTCTGGTCTCCTCTCTATAAAACCCCTCTCACTTCGACATTTGATTTCTCGCTGATTGTTAGCCACCACAAAGTTAGGGTTTCCTATTCTGAGTTGATTTCCGACTGATTTCGACGGTGAATTTTCAATTGGTCGCCACCATTCAATCCAACGGCCTCTACTTTACAAAAATCCTCTTACTCTAGCTCTTGGTAACTCGTCGAACGTCGGCTGAGAAAGTGAAATATATTTTAGGTATTAACAGAATATAAATATTGAGTAGGAAAGTGATATTTTGAAACTTTTTGGATGAAAATTTGTCATTAAGACAACACTTGAGTGGAAAAAAGTCTCTACTCAAATATAAATTCCGAAGTCCAAGAACCTATATAAAGAGCGATACCCATGTGAATGGGGAATGAAATATATTTATACACAAGGGGTGTAATGTGAAGCTTTAGCTCCTTTACTTGAAGAAGAAGTGTAATGGCTGGGAGAATCGCTTGCTTTAGTTGCATAAACAAATGTGGTTACATCATCAAATTTCCAGGTAGTCAAGTATCCTGACATTGAAGTTTCTGCAATTTTTTTATATTCCTCAAAATAGACTAAAAGATCAACTTAAGTTTTCAACATTGATAGTGCCAATCAGAATGGTTCTGGCAGAGGTTCACAAGTAATTAAAAATCAATGCCCTATGTACATGTACATATAATTGACTTGAGTTTATTTGTGTTACATTTTAAAGCATCATCTTGTGGGGAACTAATAAGAAACAGAAATGGAATCTAAACTGAAAGCCAATCAATGGAGAAGGCCTTTAGTAGTACTTCTTTGGGGAGTTTTATCCACTATACTTAAGCTTGTTGAGGAGATGTAATTGCTAGTATCATCACGTTCTTCACCTGTATCATCAAATTCCTCAGCTGTATCATCAGTAACATAGGTGGCCACATCATCAAATGTCCATTCAGTCAAGTATCCTGGTTTGGAATTCACTGTACTCACTTCAATATCTCCACAAAGCATTGCAATCACACGGGACGTCGATGGCCTCAATGAAGGCAATGTTTGAGTACACAGAAGAGCTACCCCTATTAGGCGTATTACTTCTTCCTCATTAAATATTGATAATTTGGAGTCCACTAGTTCGAGTTGGCGATTGTTCTCGTATAGGTGCCAAGCCTGGGAAGTAGGAAAGATACGAATTATGATACGAGTGATTGGATCAGAAGGAAAAAAAGGCGTTAGCATACATATCAAGTTTGACTCGTATCTTAGAAAAGTGACAAACTATACTCATCTAGACTGCTGGAATTCTTCTATTTTCTTTCCTGGGACTTTAGAATTCACAGTTAATATATACTTTAGCTTTCATGAACTCGCAATAATATATAAAATATTCATTGGTGCTGTTATCATGATGATGCAAACCAAAACACAAGGCTAGAAATCATTTTGGACTCCAATAAAAGAAGAGAATTGATGTGAAATATAGTACAGAAATGTCATTCATACCCAATCAAGAAGATACATCTTCTCTTCTTCCAAGCTTGAATCTGAGTTTGGCCTCCCACTAACAACCTCAAGAGCCACAACTCCAAAGGCAAACACATCAGTCTTCTCTGTTAGATGTCCATGCATGGTATATTCTGGTGCAAGATATCCACTATGTCAATGCAACAAAAGCAATATTCATTACCATATACTCAATGAATTAAAAAAAATGGTGGTATTAACAAATGTAAGAAGAATGACTATATGAATCTTCAGAAAAACTTACATTGTCCCTACAACACGGGTGGTTATGTGGGTCTTCTTATCATCATAAAGTTTGACCAAACCAAAATCTGATGTTTTCGGGATGAGATTACCATCAAACAAAATTTTACTGGCCTTCACATCTTTGTGTATGATTCGAAGCCTCGACTCTTCATGAAGATAAGCTAGACTTCTTGCTACTCCCAAACAAATATCATAACGCATCGACCAATTAAGATTCAAACTTCCTTTTCCTATTCACAAATGTCATATATAGTTTGAACTGTGATTTCCATACCCAATAATGCTAGGACTCCCATGAAAAACATAGTACTGACGTACATGCTATTCACATACCAAATAGTGCTTGATCAAGACTGTTGTTTTCAAGATATTCATAAACAAGGATTCGTTGTGTTCCCTCATAACAACATCCATGAAGTTTTATAAGGTTACGGTGCTGCACAGCAGATATAGTAGCAATTTCTGCAGCAAATTGGCTCTTCCCCTGGTTGGATGCTACAGACAATTGCTTCACAGCAATGACCCTTCCATCACAGAGTGTTCCCTATCGAGTAAATAGTTTAAGTTAATTGGTCAAAGAAATCAGTAAAAACTTGATTAACTTTTTGTATTTATTATTTATTTTTTTCAATGCTCTAATTATTAGAAGGCTCACTTCATGAACCAAATACAACATTATATGCACCAAATACAACATAAATCAAAAGTTTCCTATCTAGATAAAGCGAAAAGATTGTGTTTTACATTGATCTATGACAAAAAGTAATGCTGCAACCTGTATTTTGTTCTGGAAAAACAATTAATCATAAGGCACAAAAATGTACATAGCACCCTGTTTGGCATTTGATTAGAGCAATGACTTACCTTATAAACTGGTCCAAATCCTCCCTCTCCAAGCTTATTTGCAGGAATGAAGCCTTCTGTAGCAGTCCTTAGTTCAGCATAACTGAAAGTGTATGGTCTAACATCTATCCCTAGAAGCTCTGAAAATTCAACAATTAACATAGCTTACTGTTGTGACTCGTTAGTCTAATCAAATACTTCTGGGAATATTTTGTCATATTAAAGCTGAGAAAAAGCTGGCAAGAACATTTGAAATTGTCTAATCGAGGGTAAGATTTTTGTGTGACATGAAAGGGCCAGAAAGCAATTCGGTAAAAAGTAATGGCAATTAAGCAAAACGTAGTTGACCAAACTGCTTGTGGATATAAATTGATGTATATTGGTTTCTTTTAAGATGCTACTGAAATAAAATAGCTGAGATTTAATTTCTTATCCATGTTAAATCATATTAACTTGTACTGCATTTCAGAACTCACTAATGGACCTCTGCTTTATAAATTGAACAAGCATTTGTTAAGTCCATTGTTCCCTTTTTCTTTAGGAAATGTGATAGATAGATAAGACGTTAGTGGTAGCGAAGATCTTTTGATTTACCTTTATCATCAATCTGTGGCCTTCTTCTTCTTCTTCTTCTTCTTCGGACAATAAAGAAAATTGAAAGAATTGAAACAAGTAACAAAAATACAACCACAACACCAACACCAACAATAAAGCCTGTTCTATTCTTCTTAGTGATAGGACTTCGTCCACTTAGAGGTCTTACCGTAGGTTCGAAATCTGTATCAAAGCTTAGTAGTTAAATCAATATCTTATCTAATGCTAGGAAATCAACCAAAAGAGGATAAAGGGAAAAAAACAAAAGAAGTTGCTATTTCTTTAACCTGGAGCAGCACTGATAGCAGAAATTGAAGGTCCATATGAACCATCGTTGGGAATACAGCAAGTCCCTTTCCCAGCCCAAAAAAAGTGGATTTCCATGTAGTTCTCAGATACCCGAGCCGTATATTTTCTCTGAATTGCTCTTCTAGGGACTCCGTCTGCTACCCTTGTTATGTCAAAGTCCTTTTCAACGTTAACTCCCTGGAATAAACAGATTCATTTTGAAAGAAAACTAGTAACATTTGAAAGCAGTATAATCGGAAACATAATACATTTAAGGTCGTTTGATCATGCTTGAACTTCAGTATAAACCTGTGTGATGCATGGGTGAGGCTTTTCTGGCTAAAGTGATCCGAGGATGTAAGGAATACCTGAACATAAATATCGAAAGCACGCCTCCCAAGACTTCTCCTCCCGGTAGTACCCAAATCAGCTATTTCTGCAAACTGGAGAGTCACAGTATAGTTTCCATTTTCAAGGCCTAAACCATAGTATCTTAGAGATGAAGCGGAAACCCGTGCTGACTGGAAAAGTTTTGAGTCAAGAGTATTTGTGAATTGAGACTGAGAAGAAATTGTAGACCACGGATTATTGGTCCCAGTAAAATATCCGACATTACTAATTCCCCATCTGTTTGTGTCAGTCACATAGTATGTAGCTGGACTAAGAGTCTCATTATCCATCTCATACACAATATTATTAGAAGATGTAATTTGGGGACCACCACAATTAACCGCAGAGCTAGAATCTGCATACCAATATAGCCACTTATCAAAGCAAGCCCAGAAAAGGTATCCCAATCTACAAAAGCAAGAATATGTCCAAAAGTTTGATTTATAATATCTATGGTACTTCTCCTAGATCAAGCTTATCCCAAAATAGATCCTTCCTTTCTCTTTTGACCTTAGTTACTGTTACTACATTTAACTCTTAAACCACATAATGGAGTTGCACTTACAGACTGGAGAACCTCGATTGCAAGGAAAATTGTGCTGGAGACAGTTTAGACCATGTGGCAAAACACTGAGGGGAAAAGAAGAATACACTTATACGAGGAACTTAATTAATTATGACAGCACAAAAACTTGCCACTAAAGCACCCATTTCTACTGGTTTATTCATTGGATTTTGATATTCAATTGATATAATTATTAAAGAATCATAGTTTAAAAGCAAAAACAAAAGTATATGAAGGCCAAAGAAAATATTGCCAGAAGACATGCAACCAGGATAAAAAAATTACTGCTCTCTCGAAGAAAACGTTTTTTTAACACCTTGTAAACATTTCTGTTAACGCCTTGTTATTAAAAGTTAACCTGATCTCATTAACCCTTGTCTTCAAAGTAAGAGTATGGTTACTTTTTTATACATTAAACTTATTTCTAAAAAATTGAGAGTACAGGTTAACATGCTAAAAGAATCCTCAAATGAACCATCAACAACTTAAGTAGACAACAATGCTTTCAAACATTTGCCACAGAGAGTTTCATGCATTTGAATGAAACGTAGAAATGAGATAATCACCTGCTGCTACTTTCAAGAGTGAAGTTATTGGCGACTAAATTTCTGCAGATTGCACTCATAAATTCGCAATGTTAGTTTCATCCCAATATATAGAATACAATTCTTTACTAGAAATGAAGTTTTCAATGAAATGTTACCTAGGAGCTAACAGAATATATTTCTTGTAAAGAACATAGAATATTAAACTAGAAAAATGAAAGAATTTAACAAAAAGGAAGTGAAATATAGTTAAAAAATCTAAATTTAAAAGAATTTCAGGACTTACAGTTGTAAATTTTGTCTGTTTATCCAAGAAGGAAGGCTGCCCGATAAATAATTGTATGAAACATCTCTGCAAGCACAAGCAAAGAAAAAATTTAGCTACACACTACAGCTACTATTTAGTATTCAGGCATTATCCAAGTCACATTGATTTTTACTGTAATCTTTTTACACCATCCTAAAGTTAAACTTCTCCATTTTTCACGAGAACCCCACAAGTCTACTTAACAAGCCTAGATAGAATTGTTAGTCCATATTTAGCAAAGAGAAACAATGCAATATAACAAAAAAGCAAAATTCAGGATTATGGATTCATATGTTTTCTGTAAAAGAAAGAAAATTGACAAGTACCAATCTGGATGTTAGTCATTATTTTTCTATTAATATCCATATATAAAATTTGGATGGATCAAAACAATATACAGATGATTGATGGTAGGAATATGTTTTACATCTTTGATTTCATAATGGGAAAGCACTAAACAGAGAAACTGGAATGCAAGTTTAGCATTTTGATTGAATGGCTTGCTCCCATTAAAATTATCTGTAAAATTGATATATTAATATAATAATAAGTACGGAGATCAAAGCAAATCTTTTAAAAGTACTTACATGTTGACAAGATTCTCATCTTTATAGGCAGGCAGGGGTCCAGTTAACCTATTATTTCCTAGAAACCTGAGTACAAAAGCAGCAATACATGTTTCAATATAATGAGATTATTCTGGGACGTAAATGACACAACAAGAGGAAATGATAGATTACAGGTGAGTCAACACAGTTGACCCGAAAAGCCAACCGGGAATTTGTCCACTTATATTGTTGAAACTCAGATCCCTGAAGAAAAATATAAGGATTACAAAATTATAAGATGAAGAAACTAGCTACCAACCAAAAAGTAATGGGGGGAAAAATAAAAAAGAGAATAGGGAATAATTAACTAACAGATATTGAGGAATCCAATAGTGGTTAACATCAGATGGAATTGAATAGGAAATTTTGTTATTCCTTAGTTCTCTGCAATATATGAAACCAATAGTCGAGATCAAGGAAAGAACAAGAAGAAAAACGCAAAAGTAGAGGTAATTCAACATAAGATATTAGAACTTTGACAATTTTGCCATACAAGTAAGTTAATTTTTTCATATTCGTTAGAAATGCCAACGATGATGAACTCCCATTGGATAAATCGCTTATTCTCCTACATTTTCATTTCCAAGGGATTGTTAGCATTGATTATTGGGAAATTCTAACATGATCAATGAAATGTTGCAGGTAAACACTCACAACTCTGTCAAATTTCTCAGCTTGGAAAAGGATGATGGTATTGGCCCATCAAAAGAGTTTCCTTGAAACCTCCTATAATAACATGTATGACAACAGAAAATTTAAATTCTCATTGAAGAAGCTTGAAGTTAAAATAACTGAAGGAAATTTCAGCAGAAAAGAGAGAAACAAAAGTAGAATAGTTTACTCACAAGACTTGAAGTTTTGACCAATTTCCTATAAAGTCAGGGATCCTTCCTTTAAGTTCAACGTCAAAAGCCCACCTGAGTACAGGAAAAGAAATTGTTTAGTTAAGATCTGTTACAAGCCATTTTTTATCAGCAGAATGTATATCCACATTAGGAAAACTTCCAATTAGCGAACTAACATAATCAAAAAGTCCTTACAGTGACTCCAGGTTCCTTAGATTAGCAAAGCTTGAAGGAATCTCACCACTCACTCCAGAACTATCCATATATCTGCCAAGGCGAAAAATATTTATAAATTTGATCACAATTCAGTAACTTGTTTCCTACAAAAGCCATCACCTAGTAAACGAACACATCATATATTATAATCTTATGTGAAGTAACTGAGAATTTTGGTTTATGTTAAAGCTAAGACCAAATGCATCCATGTGCAGAACATTATAGAGTAGGATGGATATATGCTCAATATAAGTAAAATTTGCATTGAAAATGAAACCGAGAAGTCTATAACAACTTACAATAGCTTTAATTTCGTCAGATTACCAAGCTCAGATGGTAGAGGACCAGAGAGTCTCAATGTTCCAATATACAGTTGCTCTAAATTTGACAAATTACCAAGCTCAGGTGGCACAGAACCAGAGAAATTGTTCGTTCCAATACCTCTACATCCCCAAGAATTTAGTTCTTCAGTTATGAATTGTAACGTAATTACACAACAGAGTTCATTTAGATAAATTATAGGGGATAAACTTTGAACTTACAATACTATTAACTTAGGAAGCATGCCAAGCTGTTTTGGAAGCGGCCCAGATAATGTATTAATGCCAAAGTTCCTAATCAGAATGAGGATTAACTAACATCAGAAAAGGAGAAAATATTATGAGTTTCAAAATCAAAATTTATATCAGCTGCTAAAAGGTATTTAACTGCAGTTAGATTGCTGACAGATGGAGACAGTGGCCCTGACAAGAGATTTATTCCCACCTTCCTATTAGAAACAGAGAAAAGGTAAGAAGTATTTAAGAACACCAAGTCCAAATATTTTATGATGTGGATACAATGTTTATGATACTGCCATAGTATTACTTACATGAAACCAGAAACTAATCCATACATGTCAAGTTATTGCATTTAATAACAACTAATCACAATTAAAGCAAATATAGATTATAAAGAAAAAAACTCAAATGGTAGTATAAATGATATGATACTCTATGTTATTCTAAATTTTTACTTTTTTTTTGGTCTTTTCATTATGGAGAGAGTTAAAGATCATTAAATAAGAATAAAATAAAATATTTTATTACTCGATAAAATAATACAGAATTGAAATAAGTTTTAATCAAATATACAAAATCATACAGATTGGTCAGGAAATTCAAACTCCATAGTTCATCTGGGATCACATCATCAACTTGCAGTGCGTAAACTTGCCTGTATTTTAAGAAAATGTAAAAGTAAGCAGTAATAAAAGGTTTAAAATTAAAGAAAGGTCCTTTTGTGTACAGTAAAAAGAGAAACATGTAGTACTTACATCTCGACAATGTGGCAAAGAGTTTTTTTTCCTGTAAGAACAATTACATTTAATAAAAGGGTTGTAACCATCGGTACCAATGGCTATCGAGGAGTTAATGGCGGCTCCACTGCATGGCTATCCACTTATATTCCATTGACTTTGATTTGTAGATATCCCCCATTTCTCATATAATGCATTCAATGCTTTCACTGTTTTCAGAAGAACAATGATAACATGTAGATATTAGCTAGAAAATCAGTATCTTTTAGCATTAACAGGTGATAGTAAACGTAAAAAAGACTGATGAAAGAAGTCTATAGGAAAGCAGCAGAAAAAGAGGAAATCAAGAACGAATTCAGTATGAAGAGCTATTTTAGAATATTTTTCTCAGTTCTTTTATCAACCATAAGCATAGTTTGCCTGCATAGTTTTCTATTTTAACTGTTCCTATGGCAAGCTCATTGGATCTTTCTTTCAGAGCTAAAATTATAAAAAGAAAAGATAGAACTTAGAGGCGGACCTTCATGAGGAGCTGTAGTAGCTTGAGAGTTGAGATTGAGTTTGATTATTCTTCTGAGCTTGAGCTACATGAAGCACAAGAAGGTTCAAGAAAATCCAACTCACGTACAACCAAACTACTACTGAAACTGAAGCTGATGCTGATGATTTCATCACCATTATCATATTCATACCAGCATCAACCAAGATATTATTATTATTATTTATATTGATTCAATTACAACTGCTCTTAGTCAAGTCCAATAAATCAAGCCCAAGTAGTTGTGACTTGTGAAGACTTGTTCTGGGTCCCAGTGGACTTGACTGAGTTCTTTTTCTCCTCCTTTCTGTGGTTTATAATTATTCCGCATTAAATATAAATTGGGATATTTCAGTATACCCCCAAAATTTTGCTGACTTTTAAGCTACCACCATTATGGAAAATAAAAGGTAGCCCCCATTTTTGACAAAATTGTCAGAACAATTACACCCTCTGATGATATCATAATGTTTTAAAATTTATGTTAATATAAAGAAAAATGTTACCCTTACAAAGACCATACAAAGAGGGTTACAAAGTAACAATATTAAGAAGAAAAAAACAAAGAAAAACAGAAAAAGAGAGAGAGAAATCATAAAAATCAAGGGTGAGGATTGTCTTTATCTATCCCTTTGTATGTGTCTTTGTGAAACTAGCATTACTTTAATATAAAATAAAGGAAATTACCCATTGTGCTATGTTATGCTATTTGATAGGGGTGTGCAAATTTTTAGGTAGAACCTGAACCAACAGGTACCCAAGGTGTCAGTTTCGGTTCCAAATTTGGTGGAACTAACACTATACGGTTTCGGTTCTGGTTCCACTACTTTAGGAATCGAAACCGAGGTCTAGGTACCCAGGATGAAACCAACAGATACTTAAAATATATTTATAATTTATGTACATAGTTGGGGCTGTATTGTAATTTTCATAAGATATATTTGTTGAAAGACTTTTGACAGGCTCTAAATGAGCTTTCCAACGGTATTTTACAGGCCCCATAACTCTTCCCGGATCAAAAGTTATGGCCGTCTGAATGGGACTTGCTCATTTAAGCCCTTTAGGCTTTACGCACGGAATTCTAACGTTCAACCCGCTGCATGAATTCATCCCCCAGACGTTCTACATTAGTCCATGTCAGCAGACTTTTGACGGGCTCTAAATGAGCTTTCCAACAGTTTCTTAAAACCCCATAACTCTTCCCGGATAAAAAGTTATGGCTGCTAAATGGGGCATGCTCATTTAAGCCCTTTAGGCTTTACGCGCGGAGTTTTGATGTTTTTCCCACTCTATGAACTCATCTGTCAGACATTCTATATCAATCCACGTCGACGAGCTCTGAATGAGATTTCCAACGGTGTCTTACAGGCCCCGTAACTCTTTCCGGATAAAAAGTTATGGTCGTCTAAATGGAACATGCTCATTTAAGCCCTTGAGGCTTTACGCACGGACTTTTAACGTTCAGCCCGCACCATGAATTCATCCACCAGACATTCTACGTTAGTCCACGTCGATAAACTTCTGATGGGCTCTGAATGAGCTTTCCAATGGTATCTTACAGGCCCCGTAACTCTTCCCAGATAAAAAGTTATAGCCGTCTGAATGGGGCATGCTCATTTAAGCCCTTTAGGCTTTATGCACGGAGTTTTGACGTTTAGCCTGCTCCATGAATTCATCCGTTAGACATCCTACATAAGTCCACGTCGACGGGCTCTGAATGAGATTTCAAATGGTATCTTACAGGCCCCGTAACTCTTCCTTGATAAAAAGTTATGGCCATCTGAATGTGACATGCTCATTTAAGCCCTTTGGGCTTTACGCACAGACTTCTGAAGTTCAGCCCGCTCCTTGAATTCATTCACCAGACGTTCCACATTATTCCACATCAACGGACATTTAACGGGCTTTGAATGAGCTTTCCAACGGTATCTTACAGGCCCCGTAACTCTTCCCGAATCAAAAGTTATGGCCGTCTGAATGGGGCATGCGCATTTAAGCCTTTTGGGCTTTACACATGGAGTTCTGACGTTCAACCTGCTCCATGAATTCATTCGTCAGACATTCTACATCAGTCTATGTCGACAGGCTCTGAATGAGATTTCCAACGGTATCTTACAGGCCTCGTAACTCTTCCCGGTTCAAAAGTTATGGCCGTCTGAATGAGACATGCTTATTTAAGCCCTTTGGGCTTTACGCACGGACTTCTGATGTTCAACCCGCTCTAGGAATTCATTCGCCAGACGTTCTACGTTAGTCCACATCAAGCAAGTGGAAAGAATTGCTCTTGCGGGGAAAGACAGGTAGGCTATGTATATATATACATTAATATTTGAGTTAATATCATGAATCTCTATGATATAGTCATAAAAATTATCTTGAGATTTCAAAAATAAAAGAAATCTTTTTGTCGTTAAGCTATACGTATTAAAGTAATTATAGGAAAGTATCTCTAGGTAATCGAACAATTCAATAAAGATTCTTAGGTTTATTACTCAAGAAATTATGAGTTGAGTTTGAATCCCTTCTCATTTGCNTCACCAACCGTTAATCCATACCAATGCCCTAGTGACATGACTATCATCGTCATCCGTACTTATATCAACTCATGATATCTTTCGGAAGCATCCGGTATGCCTACTGTACAATATAGTTGCCCAAATTTATATTGCTTCCGTAGGGAACCCTTTTCGATAATTCATTTACCTATTAAATGAATCATCTGGACAATTCATATACACACTTTATTTTAAATGCATGACTGAATAAAGGAAGCAATTTACATATATGAATTGAAGAACTCTTTCTTCTATTATTTATGATATATATAGATACAAGACAAAATGCTCTGAAACCGACAACACGAATGGTTTCTAGGGCATACACTAATATACACTGACACCTGTAACTCTTCTCGGATCAAAAGTTATGGCGTCTGAATTGGGCATGCTCATTTAAGCTCTTTTGGCTTTACGCACGGAGTTATGACGTTCAGCCCGCTCCATGAATTCATCCGTCAGACATTCTACATTAGTCCATGTCGACGGGCTCTAAATGAGACTTCCAACTGTATCTTACAGGCCCTGTAACTGTTCCCAGACAAAAAGTTATGGCCGTCTAGATAGGACATGTTCATTTAAGCCCTTTGGGCTTTATGCACGAACTTTTGACGTTCAGCCCGCTCCATGAATTCATCCACCAGACATTCTACGTTAGTCCACGTCGATAAACTTCTGATGGGCTCCGAATGAGCTTTCCAATGGTATCTTGTAGGCCCCGTAACTCTTCCCAGATCAAAAGTTATGGTCGTCTGAATGGGGCATGCTCATTTAAGCCCTTTAGGCTTTACGCACAGAGTTCTGACATTTAGCCTGCTCCATGAATTCATCCGTTAGACATCCTACATAAGTCCACGTCAACGGGCTCTGAATGAGATTTCAAATGGTATCTTACAGGCCCCGTAACTCTTCCTGGATAAAAAGTTATGGCCATTTGAATGTGACATACTCATTTAAGCCCTTTGGGCTTTACGCACAAACTTCTAAAGTTCAGCCCGCTCCTTGAATTCATTTTCCAGACGTTCCACATTATTCCACATCGACGGACATTTAACGGGCTTTGAATGAGCTTTCCAACGGTATCTAATAGGCCCCATAACTCCTCCCGGATCAAAAGTTATGGCCGTCTGAATGGGGCATGCGCATTTAAGCCCTTTAGGCTTTACACATGGAGTTCTGACGTTCAGCTTGCTCCATGAATTCGTCCGTCAGACATTCTACATCACTCCATGTCGACGGGCTCTGAATGAGAATTCCAACGGTATCTTACACGCCTCGTAACTCTTCCCGGTTCAAAAGTTATGGCCGTCCGAATGGGACATGCTCATTTAAGCCCTTTGGGCTTTACGCACGGACTTCTGATGTTCAACCCGCTCCAGGAATTCATCCGCCAGATATTCTACGTTAGTCCACATCAAGCAAGTGGAAAGAAAGGAATTGCTCTTGCGGGGAAAGACAGGTAGGCTATGTATATATATACATCAATATTTGAGTTAATATCATGAATCTCTATGATATAGTCATAAAAATTATCTTGAGATTTCAAAAATGAAAGAAATCTTTTTGTCGTTAAGCTATACGTATTAAAGTAATTATAGGAAAATATCTCTAGGTAATCGAACAATTCAATAAAGATTCTTAGGTTGATTACTCAAGAAATTATGAGTTGAGTTTGAATCCCTTCTCATTTGCTAATATGAATAGCTACTATAACTCTTATTCGACCGATAGTTTTAGGGTCTGGGAAGATTAGTTGAAGTACGCGTAAGCTGGTCTAAATACCCTCGATCATAAAAAAAAAGTTAATTATAGGAGGGTAATTGATGATACTGTATTTATTAACTCATAACACTGTTAGTTTAAATGCCTTACTAATAGTTTATCAACATCATAGAGATTTTGTTATTTTAAAAACCTCAAAAGGTTTTTTTTATTATTATATCATCCATAAGAGGAATTAATGTCAATAACTTTAATATTGTTAAGATGCTTTGTGAATTTTATTTTATTTTTGAAGTTTAGTTATTCTTTGAAGATTTGATGTGTAATCCAGCCAATAATGTATTAGATTGTTCTTAATTATATAATTAATTTTTTTGAGAATATAAGCATTTTAGGTATGGAAAATGATAGAGCCACTGAATCTGTGTATCGAATGACGTGACAAAACTTGACCGTTGATTAATATTAATTGATAATGAATCAACGGTCAGGATTTTGTCACGTCATTCGGTGCACAGATTCTGTGCGCAACCTTCGGTAACTGTAACATTCCTCTTTTAGGTATTGTTATCAGCGGTTGAAGAATTGATCCACGGTTAGGCATTGGATTTTATAATCATATCCCTTCAAAAAATTATATTAATAATACAAAAATTTTAAGTTTTGATGGATATAAACATATTAAAAAATAATTTTTTTACCATCTCTTACAAATAATTAATGTGCATAAGGGACATAAAAACAATTTTTCCCTATATAACACAGCAAGCTGACAAATATCCCCTCTTATTTTGAGGCGACATGTTGGTCCCTTTCTTGTAAATCAATTCTTATTATCACACTTTGTAAACAATTTTTCCCTTTGCCGATCCTCACGTTCTTATTCATTTTCCCCACAATGTGAATAATTCTACAAAATTCAGAAGTTTACCCCTCTTTAACGGCTACATTTCTCTCTCCTCTCCTCTTCTTGTGTCCAATGCCCTCAATCTCAGCAATCTTGCCCAAATTAACAAACCCTACTCTCTCTTCTCTCTCTGTAGTTTACTGATCGGAATGAAGCACTTCATGCAGCCAAGAAATACAATCTTGAGAGAGACCCACTCAAGTGAGTCGCCATCTTCGTCGTCTCCAAATCCTAATTCAAAATTAAAGTCATCGTGGAAGCAAAAATCATCCAAAGAAAACGCTCCGCCGTCAGATCTGAACTCACTTCTTCCACCTTCTCCGGCATCTTCCAAGATTAAGAGTCCGCTGCCCCCACGCCCGCCCAATCCCCTCAAGCGCAAGCTCGCCACTGATACTCTTCCCGAGAACGTAATGGTTGGGGTCCCAAACTCGGGTGTTCAAGTAATTTTTTCGATTTTCTTCTTTTCAGTTGATAGTTGATTTTATCTTTTTTAAGTTTTGACAGTATTTGGGGAAAAAGTGACTCAAGCTTGAGAAAATGTAAATTTTAAAGCATCTGTTTTGTTACTGAGAGGAAGGGGGAGAAATTGTTGAGTTTCTTTGTTCTGTTCTGTATTAGAAGAGAGAGAAATTGGAAATTTGCGTACATTGTTAAAAATAAATACTAGGTTATATATTGTTACTGAGAGGAAAGGGGAGAAATTGTTGAGTTTCTTTGTTCTGTTCTGTATTAGAAGAGAGAGAGAAATTGGAAATTTGCGTACATTGTTAAAAATAAATACTAGGTTATATATTGTTACTGAGAGGAAAGGGGAGAAATTGTTGAGTTTCTTTGTTCTGTTCTGTATTAGAAGAGAGAGAGAAATTGGAAATTTGCGTACATTGTTAAAAATAAATACTAGGTTATATATTGTTACTGAGAGGAAAGGGGAGAAATTGTTGAGTTTCTTTGTTCTGTTCTGTATTAGAAGAGAGAGAGAAATTGGAAATTTGCGTACATTGTTAAAAATAAATACTAGGTTATATATTGTTACTGAGAGGAAAGGGGAGAAATTGTTGAGTTTCTTTGTTCTGTTCTGTATTAGAAGAGAGAGAGAAATTGGAAATTTGCGTACATTGTTAAAAATAAATACTAGGTTATATATTGCTGATATTCTTGAATGTTATTAAGTAGCTTTACTGCCCAACTGTATTGAAATTTTTTTTTTTTTTTCAAACGATGATGATTTAACAGAGGGATTTAGCACACCAGAATCCGTTTACCATAGCTTCGAAGAATTTTGGTGTTATTACTTGTAAGGAAGACAAAGGTAATTCTTATTTGCAAATTGTAAATATGGGGCTAGTTTTAGTCAGTTTATTTGAATTGTTACACTATCTTCTCAATGGTATAATTTCCAAATTTGCAGATATCAATGTTGAAATTTATAGAGCTGGAAACCTATAAACTCCTTTGCAACTGGAAAAGGAATATCAAGACTAGCTTCTGCAGATGTATGATCATTATGATGAACAAAATAACTTTGGAGCAGATCAACCAATTTTTATCATTAGCCCCAAAAACAAAAAGTCACTGGGCATTTCATTTGATGGTAGGCTTTGATTGATAAGGAGTTTAACTTACATAACATTATTTTCCATTTTGCATAGTTTGCTTTTCACATACTTTGTTCAATTCCTTGGGTCTCTTTTTTATTCTTTTGTTGCTGATTTGTTTGTTTACCTGCTGTTTTTATCTGATGAGATATCTTATATATTATTCAACTATAGTTGCAAGGGTGCACCAAGTACTAAAGAGGAAGGGTTTAACAGGGAAAAGAGGTCAAAGAGTTAAGGTTTTCAAGGGAGCATGTGCTGGAGTTCATAAAAACAATATCTATGCAACAATAGATTATTTTTTAATTGAAGGTCTTCGTGGGGATGCTGCTGGTAGGCACTGGTTTTAAGACTCTTAGACTTATAGACCATGACTATTAGTTTGCTTTTTATCATTTCGTAATAGGACAAATGTATTGTTGACATGTTTACATAATTTAATCTTCTTGCAAATTTGATAAATTTCACCCTCCCTTTTTTACATTTCTAATAGGTGATGCTCGAATTATATGCAGGTATGCTATCTTGTGCATTTGTGGCTCTAAAAGTTCTATTTTTAGTGTATAAATATAATCCTTGTACTTGTTGTTTCACAAACATGTGATGTCTAATATCTTTTATTGTCTGAAAGGCCAATAGGTCTCATGGATAAGGAAGGATGTGTCCTCGTGGAGAACAATGGGACTGATAGCTTGGATATTTTTGGCAACTTATTGTTACCTATTGGCATAATTGATTTTGGAAAAGTTTTCCATTTAGTTTCAATTTTCTCTTTATTGCTACGTACATTTATATTTCTTTGATATTTGCAAAATTTTACTTGAAAGTATTTATTTATTTTTTTGTCATTGGCATTGGCATTAGTGTGTATGTATTGACAATATTGATTGGGAACTACAACTAGAGTAGCAACGTAAAAAAACTCCTGCTTTGATTGACTTGTTGAGTGCAACACAATGTCAAAAATTAGATGTTGATGGGGGTTTGTATTCATCAAACTTATCTTATTTTGGTTTATCAAGGATGAGAACAATGATTAAGTTATTTGGAAATTCATAAATATAGAATGTCACATCTTGAATATATGTAAAAATATTCTCCATTTCTTTTGGCACTTAGCTTGAGAAACAAAAATTCAATCCCTTTCTTTTCTCTTCCATCAAGATATTTAATCACAACTAATGAGTTTTTGTTTCAGGCATTATCTTTCAGTGCTAAAGATGGAGAAGTACCTCCTAGAGAAATTGTGGCTGTTGTTCGGCCTGCCAATGCTGTTTCTTCTAGTCCTTCAAAGAAGTTGGACCAGAAGCACATTGTTAAGAATAATTTATAGATGATCATGGAAGTCGGATTCATAGGTGAAAGGAAGAATCTTCAAAAGAGAATCAACATCTACACAGCTCATGTACCACTTACTTCTACAAAAGGGTATCAAGGTTTCTATATATTTGAATTCGAGTGTAAGTGACCTATTTCAGAATGCTGAGATGTATAGGTTTTCATTTCACCTTGTAAGTGATACAAAAGATTCTGATAGAAACCTGGCCTACCTCTGTCACGCTCAACTCACAGACACTTCCCAGATTATTTCAATTTTGCTAGTTATCAACCTAGAATTTTTAGTCAACCAATTCTAACCAAAATACTGCTCTCAATGGAACATAACAATGTTGGATAGATTTGATAATTGTACTCAATGACAGATCAAAGTGAATTCTATTAAGATTACAATTCTTTACAACTCAAATAAAGCAATAATCGATTAAATCAGAAAAACAGCTCATCCAGGATGAGTTTGCCAACCATAAGAACCTATTGGACTTCGAGAGCCAGCATCTCCCCAAATCCTTTCCCTCTACAAAATTCCCTCCATAGATCCTTCCTGCTGCCTTTTATTCTTCATGCTCTATTGTTGTAACTGAATTCAGCTCCCCAATCACTTAGCATTTGCCACTTGTCACTTTCCCATAAACCCAAAACCACCCTCCATCACGCTCAAAGCCTGACCTTAGTCCCTCAATCATCTATTTGTGCCGTTATTTTTCCTCCTATATACCAAGGTACACAACCACCCCCCACCCAACCCCCCACCCCCCCGCCAAACAAGGAGAGCCACCTTGTCCTCAAGGTGAAAGGAGGGAAACTGCAGTTGGATGGTGGAAAACTCTTCCCAAGTACTTTCAAAATCTGGTAGGCTTTTCCATTTAATTAAAACTTCCCAACTCCCATTCAGTAGCTTTCTTTTCTTTAGTACCGCTTCTAGTGACATTGCTGAAATCAAGTCTTCATCTAGGCCAGTTGGCAGGGGTTGGACATTCGAAGGTGGAGAAGTAGTCTTCCTAAGTTGGGACACATGAAAGACGTTGTGAATCTGGGTTGTGGATGGTAGTTGTAGTCGGTAAGCGATTGATCCAATTTTTTCCGTAATCACAAAAGGCCCATAGAACCGTGGACTCAACTTCACATTGTAACGACGGGCGAAGGAGCGAAGGTGGTAAGGCTGGAGCTTGAGCAAAACTGAATCTCCCACTTCAAAGTTTACTTCTCTCCGTTTGGTGTTCGCAAACTGTTTCATTCGATTTTGAGCCTTGACCAAATTATCTTTTAGTTTTTGAAGGATATTATTGCGGTCATGCAGTGGTCAGTTGACTTCTTCAACATGGCAAGGACGTTCAGAATGTTTCAGGATGACTGGAGGGTCTCGACCATACAGTGCCTTAAAGGGTGTCATGCCAATTGAGCTGCTAACAAGTGATAAACCAAAATTCTGCCCATGGAATCCATTTGGGCCGGGGTTAGCACTAACAAGCAACGGAGAATTTTGAAACAGCGGTTTACTACTTCCGACTGACCGTCTGTTTGCGGGTGATAGGCTGAACTCATACGGTTAGGTTCCAGACTGCTTGAACATCTCACACCAAAAATGACTAATGAACACCAGTCGCAATCCGAGACGATAGAATGCGGGAACCCATTGTAACACCTGCTCTTACTACTATTCTTATAGTTCATACTATGTAAAATATAGATATATATATGATGGGAATGCAAAATGTCATATTTAACCCCCTTAAGTTTAGTCTTTTATATGTATTTGTTTCCTAATTGTACTCATTATTACTTTATTTGGTTAGAGACAAATGGAGGTGTTAATTGAAAAACGGAATTAATTAGGGGAATTCGGACAGTTTCGCCACTGCTTCTATTCTGGGCATAATTCTCTCATCCAGCTCCGATTGAGATGATTCAAAATGCTGTGGAACTCTAAGAATAGATCTACAACTTTCATGTTTTGAGTGTTTAGAGATACTGCTGAATAAAGGTTTGAATCGAGCTGAAGTTGACGCACCTGCATTGCCGACGTCCTGGAGCGTTCTGACTTGTTATGCAAGTCAGTCTATTTTTGCACGTTTTGAAGACACATGCTGCACGAAAATTACAGCTGGAAACACCACTTCCTATTTTATTAGACTCTATTATTTAGTTCCAATTAGAATTAAATTAGGATTAATGTTATTTTAGGATAGGAGAATATTTCTTTTAGGAGATTGAGTGGGATTTGAATTCTAAAATTGGATTTTAAAGGGAGATCATAGGTTTGAGGGACGACGCCTCTCTCTCTTTCCTCTCTGGAATTTTCTTTCACTGGAGTTTTTGTTATGCCATGACGGCTAGAACTTTTGTAACTTGGTCGAAGGAACGGAAACCTCGGAATCAAATAAACTGAGATCTTTCTTTTTTAGTGTTAAATCATGTTTGAGTATTGAATTTTATTCTGTGCATATTTTCATGATGATGCATTTAATTACTAGGAGGCCTACTAGTATTATTTGTTGAAATCTACTGCTAAGTTTGATATCAAATCCATAATTGTTTGATCCCTCCAACTTGTGAAGCAATTAGGTTAGTAATTTGCTGCATCAGGAATTAGTAACCTTACGAAGAACATTCAACTAAATTAAATCAAACCGCTTGTGTTTGTGTTGTTTAGCTTCATCGATCTCTCTAATTCTTAAGGCTGCCACTAGATTAAATCTTGAGCACTTGTCTAGGGTTGTTTAGGGGTAAGATAATTAGGATCGCTTGTTTCCTGATTAATTACAATTAAGGAGAGATAGGAAATTAGTTCCAACGGTGAATATTCAATGTGTGAATTGATTATCTTTGCATCAATGATCAGTAGTAAGATTCCGATGGTGGATGTTGACAGAGACCAAGTTCGTCATTTTGATTGAATCGAATTAAATTGTTTTTGTTTTGCTGAGATTGTTTTTCTGTTTTACACAAACCCCCCAGCCTTTTTCACATAACAGCAAATTCAGCTAGACCACTATTTGTGGGATCGACCCTGACTTACACTACTACGTGTATTTTTAGGTTTTAATTCTGGGTGCCTACGACAGCACATCATATATCATATGAAAGATAGTGGGCCCAAATTTTTCTTTACTCATAAAAACATAATTCTTTACAAATACAAAATACTATGTATGAAAAACTTTCTAATTAATACAAAATATCATAACTGGTGGACAGTGATGCCAATACTCTCCGCTCCTCGACGTCCATCCAACCGCTGCAGTTTTTTCCTGCAAAACAGAAAGAACAACGAGGGGAGCACAACAATGCTCAGTAACTAAATCCTCTACTACCTGTCCCCGCAACTCACTCTTTGGTTCTTTCCTTACTCTACCGTTCTTCTATTTCTAATTCTCACTGTTTTTCTCTCATTTAACTGTTTTGCTCTTTTTCTTCTTTCTTTCTCTCTGTTCTTATTCTCTTTTCTTCTTCTCTTATTCTTACTCACCATGAAGGACAATCATGGTTCTCTCTTATTCTCATCATACTCACCATGAAGGAAAATCATGGTTCTCACCTGTATAAGCTCTATATGCAATTAATACAAAAGAACTGCATGTTTCTTTCTTCTACTGTCTATTCTTATTAGCTCAAACTTCCGCATTCTTTCTCATACTCTCTCTCTCTTTCTATCTCATTCTTTCTCTAGCTTTCTCAAGCTTTCTCATTCTTTAATTCTTTCTATTATCCCATTCTCATTTCTGTTTCTCTTTCTCATAACTCTTTTCTGTTAACTCTCTTTAGTAGTCATGGCCTCATCTTACCGGAGGCACGGCCGAGACTTGCTCCCACTCTACGTGACTTTTCCTCATTCTAGCCGATCGGACTTGGTTATGCATGGATTCGAAACCTCTGGCCATGTGAGTGTATAATCTCTCTCTCGGGTACTCGGGTATAGCCCTCATCCGCATGCACTCTCACGGGCTACACCACTTCTCTACCTCATACTCATGCCGCCCTCTCAATGCGGCGTACATGCAGGAATAAACGGGTTCCCCATTGCATAACCTACTCTATACTCTTATCTCTCTCTTATTCTTTCTCATGTTTGCTCATCTCTTTCTCAAGCTAGTACTCATAATATAGCTTAACTCTTAGTTTTTCTCATCTCTATTCTTTCTATTTCTTTTCTTTCTCATTCTTACTCATTGAAATGTCACGACCTCATCTGACCGGAGGCACGGCTGGGCGCTACCACTCTACGTGACTTCCGCTCATTTCGCTACTGATCGGATTTAGTCATGCGTGGATTCGGAACCTTTGGCCATGTGAGTGTATTCTCTCTCTCTCTAAATGTCACGGCCCCATCTTACCGAAGGCACGGCTGTAACCTCATGGTCCACTCTGCGTGACGGTCACGGCCTCATCTGACGAGAGGCATGGCTGGGGATCACAAAGCACCCACT